ATTATATAACAGTAGCACGGACAACCTATACAAGTGAAATAAAAAAAATGTAGCATTGTGCAAAAGTTCATTTATGTTAGTAATTCAACTAAAAGATTAGACTGATATACAGGGGTGGACCGGCCTATCTGGCATTCTGGCACTGGCCGATTTTTGGTCCCAGTCCACCCCTGCTAATATGAGATAAAGTCATTCTCAATCTCAGACTATTAAAATATTGTGAAAAGTTTCTAGCCTAGTGAACTAGACCAAATTCTTGCTTTGCAAAGTTTGGTCTAGGAACGCTTCATTGGAACCTCTGCAGACCCTAGCAGCATTCTGGCTGGCCAATCACAGCATTCTATAGGGGATTCAAGCACCTAGAGAGCTGTGATTGGTCCATATTGGTGGGCCAATCAGGGCCCTCTATTCGTCTGCTGGGTGGACTAATACAAAAGAGTGTAACAAGAGGGCGACAGCTCGTTTGAAACGGCTTTTACATCAGTTTTGGACTATTTGGACTTGGGTTTTATTGAGGGATGTCTCGATACAACTTTTTCACTTCCGATATGATACCGATATTGCAGCCTTCAGTATTGACCGATTCCGATATCAATCTGATATGATATCAGCACAAATCATACATACTTTTACCTATTTCGTAGTGTGGAATGTATGAAAGGCTTTATCATGTGATATTACTCAATCGCAGAACAAGAGCCAATAACAGTAAGTATGAAATAAATGACAATTTTTTCTTACCCATTGGTTGCAAAAATGTGAACTTTAACAGATTGCTTGTATCAGAGTTTTTTGATGCCGTCCGATATAATCCGACACAGTGTTTTTGGGCCGATATCGAATTACTTCCGATATCGATATCAGAACGGGACATCCCCGGTTTTTTTCGAATCAGGAGCAGATAGATGTATTTAAGTTCTTTTTTTTTTTTAGAAAACATAATATATTTTCGCCTTCTTCAACAGCGGACCGCCTCGTTTACCGACATCCGTTGCGGTGAGTAAGTCACGTTGTTTGTTGTCCAATAGCATGCGGAGATCATTTGAAAGACAACGGTAGAACTTGCGCCATGACCAAGAGCAGTCAATGGAGCGTTCCAGAATAAATAATATATTAATTTAGTTTGGCTTGCCAGACTAAATTGTGAACCACCTCTAGTAAAATAACTGACTGATGCTGATGCGATAGCTGGCTAGCCACGTGATTGGTTAGTCAGTTGCTACCTGAATTTTACTGGAACTTTCTATTTACTCGATTTTAGCTTTTCTTATTTGACTATTTTCAACAAGTTTGTTTTTTCTTTTTTTTTAACTATGAATGTATGAATATTTAGATTTCTATTTATCTTATTTGGTCTTTTATCCTGTTTTAACTGTTTTGTAAATTTCCATTTATATTTCAATATTCATTCTAATTGTGTAATGATGTTACTATTGTAATCTGCGTTTTACACCGGGTTACACTATGGTAAATGGCCCGTATTTGATATAGCGCATTCTAGAGTCCTAGAACCCCCCAAGGCACTTTACAGCACAATCAGTCATTCACACATTCACACACTGGCGGGGATGAGCTAAGATGTAGCCACAGCTTCCCTGGGGTGCACTGACAGAGGCGAGGCTGCCGAGCACTGGCGCCACCGGTCCCTCCGACCACCACCAGCAGGCAAGGTGGGTTAAGACCCAAGGACACAATGACAGTGACAGACTGAGCGGGGCTCGAACCTGCAACCTTTCGATCATGGGGAGAGCACTTAACTCCTGTGCCACCGTCGCCCTAAAATGTTTCAGTATTCTAGACTCAAAATGTCACATCCTAATCAGGGTTCCTGAGCCTTTAGATGGTCTCTCAGTCTAAGCTGCATTACTGACATAAATTGACTTTTGCTCCATACTCTAGCTTTTTAGTTTAAACTGTAACTAGATGTTATGTATGAGGGAACAGCAAGTGATTTGCAACAGATGTAAGAGCAAATGTTTATTACTTTTACAAAGAAACACAATTAAGAACAATCACTTTTAACTGTGTCTTTATGTTGAAGAGAACATTTCCTTAATTAGAGTAAATATTTGTCTTGTGCCTAATGTGTCTCCATTTTTTCTGTGGGATTTAAATCGAGCTTAAATTTAGTTTTTTGTACCACATATGAAGCTCTCAGCCTTTATGCTTTATTTGGAGATGTTTGACAGCATAGCTAGGACAGATTTTTGGGATGAAAAGACAAATTTCCGGATTTTTTCAGATGATGGTTGGACTTTAACTTGGTTTGACTGAGCCGTTACTCTGGAGTTTTCAGTTCTGCTGTTTGCTTTTATGTTTCTACTGTTTCCTCAGCTGGCAAGAATACACGACATAAGCACCATCTGGCTCTGCTCTCGGGATTAAACCTTTTTATTTTTTTGGTCCTGCCTTTTTCAAGAGCAGACCATCATCCTCATCTGCTGGCAGTTAATCATTGCTGTGAGTCATGACAAGCCCTTTTATTTACACACCCAATCCTGTTGCAAATGCATTTCCATCTCCTTTAGTTAATCTTCACTCTGCTAATTCTGTTCATCGGTGACATTCACGCCCTCATAAACCCTTTTCTATGGCAATAAATTGGTCAGATTGAGGTGAAAGCAGCATAAAGGTCTCAGTCTATCCGTGTGAATGCAGCTGCTTCAGCATTAGAAAAGTTTTAAATGAAACAAAAATAGGTCACAAACGCTTCTGTTCTAACTTATTTTCATGTCTTGTGATGAATCTTGAGACAATGAGGTATTTCAGAATCAGAATCAGATCAGAATCAGATCAGAACAGGTTTATTGCCATTGTCAGTGAACAAACAATTCACAAACTAGGAACTTGCTTCGGTACTAATGTGCTACATATAACATGAATAATAAGATTAAAAATAGAATAAAATGTAATAAAAAAAACTAGAATAAAACTTTCAGCGATAAAAAATGGCAGGTAAATGTAACATGGCCGATAACATGACGTTGTGTCGAGTACAGAAGACGAGCATGGTTGTGTGTTTATAATCTGTTCACAAGTCTAACGGCAGATGGAAAGAAGCTGTTATTATGGCGGGAGGTTCTGGTCCTGATGGACCGTAACCTCCTGCCTGAGGGAAGCGGCTCAAAAAGTCTGTGACCCGGGTGCGAAGGGTCAGCTGCTATCCGACCTGCACGCCCCCGAGTTCTGGAGACGTACAGGTCCTGGAGAGATGGAAGGCTGCAGCCAATCACCTTCTCAGCAGAGCGCACAATGCGCTGCAGTCTATTTTTGTCCCTAACTGTGGCTCCAGCGTACCACACAGTGATGGACTCAATGATGGCCGTGTAAAACTGCACCATCATCTGGGCTGGCAGCTTGGCCTTTTTCAACTGCCGCAGAAAGTACATCCTCTGCTGGGCCTTTTTGATCAGGGAGCTGATGGATGGCTCCCACCTAAGGTCCTGTGTGATGGTGGTTCAGAGGAAGCGGAAGGAATCCACAGTGGTGACGGGGGTGTCCGTCAGGACGAGGGGGAGAAATGGGGCTGTGACTTTCCTGAAGTCCACAATCATCTCCACTGTCTTCTGAGCATTGAGCTCCAGGTTGTTGCTGCTGCACCATTACACCAGCCGTTCCACCTCCCTCCAGGAGGCGGACTCATCACCGTCAGAGATGAGCCCGATGAGGGTGGTGTCGTCCGCAAACTTGATCAGTTTAACAGAGTCATGGCTCAAGGTGCAGCAGTTTGTGTACAGGGAGAAGAGCAGAGGAGAAAGTACACAGCCCTGTGGAGATCCTGTGCTAATAGTCTTAGCGGTGGAAACATTCTTCCCCAGCCGCACGCACTGCCTACGGTCCGTCAGGAAGTCAGTGATCCACCTGCAGGTGGAGTTGGTATTTCTTAAGGTCATGTGAGTTTTCATTGACAGGGAAATCAAACTAAATACAAATATATATATTTTATTTATACTGCAGTTTCCCATGCCAAGTGAATTAGACCACATTCTTGCCTTGCAAAGTTTTATATATTCACATAGGATGGCTTGCCAGTCTAGCAGTTTCCACGTGTTGCATTTAAAAGTCTGTTTCATTGATTCTATATACCATTTAATGTTTCTGTCTTCTTTCACGTGTTTTGTGCATATTTGATGAGAATTAGTTGTCTCTAATGTGCTCTCTACTGCATTTGGTGCACTGGTACCAGAACCTACCTTCCTCACCTCATCAATCTTTTATCCACAGGATGAAGCACCTGACCCAGAGTGGGAGGAGATCTTCCACCATAAGTGATCAAATTGCGGAAGTCATGCACAGGTATGAAAAGCTGAGGTGAGTAAAGGCAGACATTACTAAGAGAACGACGATGAAAGGGTCGCCTTCAAAATAAAAGTCTCCTGGGCTGTATGATAGCAAAACGTTGCGCAATTTCAAAATGAAATACAACTATACAAAACTTAAAAAATAAACAAAACTTTATAAAAAGTAGAATTGTTTCAAAACAAGTCATCTTCTACCTTATAAGACATATTTCATATTATTTTATATGGAGTCTACAATTTCAACAAATTATTATTGCCTCCAAACATTGTATTTGCATTGAAATGCAAAACAAGTAGTATATAAAAAGAGCATAATTACTCAGATTACACAATTGTTTTTTTCTTCTTCAATATTTCCCCATATTTTTCTTATGTACTTTTTATTTACCCTGTTATCATCTCTTTCAAACATTTTTTTTTCAAAATGAAAACATTATTTTTATATTAGATTTAGCACTGCAATTAGTTTTACTTCACTAACAATGTCAATTGTCTGCTGTTGTACACTACATTTTAACACAATAAAATTGTGTGAAAAATGAACATACTTCTAAAAATAGAATCCTAATTTTTTGTAACTCCTAGCATATTTATATGTGCTATGTTAACAAAGTGCATTATTAGAAACTCCCTGATATTTGGTGCCAATTTTTATATGTTTTGTAGTGGGTGTGTTTTATTGTGAAAGGTTATACCGGAAGTAGAGTGAACATAGAGTTCCTTTTGACTCCACCTGCTCGTATTTGGGTTTCTAACTGACAGCGGCCGAAGATTGAGGGGCTCCGGTTCAGCGTGTTTACTTTTCTTACAACTAGCACCACTATTGAGGTACGTCACTGTTGTATCAATTAAAATATTCACCGGAACAGAAGCTATTTTAAGGTAGCTAGCGCTTTAGCTCACTGGTAGACAGCAGCATCACACGGTTAGCCGGACAGTTGGCTCGGTTCGGTCTGCTTCACTGACCTGCACCATCATCACAGCAGTGTCACGCTAACTTGTTTGTTTATTCGTCGATTGATTTTGTTTTTCACCACATTAAAATAACATATTTGGAGATAATTGACATTAAATTATATTAAAACGACCCTTTTTGTCACCAGGACAGTTTTTATGGTAAGTGGTTTGAAACGCATTTCTAATTCTGCACCTTATGGACCAGCAGCGTTAGCCTGTCGGGGTGTTTGGGAACAGAAAGTGAAAATCTAATTGACTTTGTGATAGATTTCTGGGAAATGAGAAATTTAAGTAATTAATAATCTGTTACTCTCACACACACACGCACGCACACACGCACACACAGCCATGTCTCCATCAGTTCCCTTGCAGGAGATGATCCGGGCCATCAGGTCAGCTCGGACCCAGTGTGAGGAGCGGGGTGTCATCCAGAGGGAGTGTGCAGCCATCCGGGCCCAGTTCAGACAGAACGACAACGGGAGCCGATCTCACAACCTGGCCAAGCTGCTCTATGTGCACATGTTGGGCTACCCGGCTCACTTTGGTCAGGTGAGGAGATTTGGTTAATTCCCGTCATGTGTTTGCTGGGTTCGGATGGGATGTGATTGTGAGAAAGCATGGAGGAGCTGGAATGTTTCCGTTCACTTGAAAGGCACCTCCCGCATCCAGAGCACTGACCTGAGGCACAAAGTGTTGGAAAACTGTTGTAAATGTGGGCTGAAAATAAGGATTTGTGTACTAAATGTTGCTGCAGTTCTGCAAACTTGTAGCTCTTGCTCTTTTACACCTTCCTTCTTATCCTAACAATGAGAATTGTGTTCTATTCCCTCAAGCAAAGCCTGTCAAAGTGTGCAAATCTCCTACAAGTAGGCCACCGAGTTCTTCTCAGCTCCATACTCCCCTCTGTGGAGCTGCTGTAGTCTTTGCTCATTAGCAGTGTCAGCACTTCAAGTCATTTCACATTTTACCGAGTCGGTACTGTTCCCTCTAGATGGAGTGTGTTCGGATGATAGCCAGCCCTCGCTACAGCGAGAAGCGCGTGGGATACCTGGGAGCCATGATGCTTCTGGATGAGAAGCAGGATGCCAGCCTGCTCATCACCAACTCCATCAAGAAGTTAGGCCTGCTGACAGCTGTTTATTTTCAGAAGTCTATCTGAGTGTGCTAACATTACACTGGGACTTGTTTGGTTAGGAGGAACAATGACAGAATGAAAAAGCTAATTGACTGGTTTAAATAAAACAAGTCACTTTTTAATTTCTTCCTTAACCCTATTTTCCGTGTGTCTCTCAGCGACTTGTCCCACAGTAACCAGTACATCCAGTCTCTCGCTCTGTGCACGCTGGCCTGCATGGGTTCAGCTGAGATGTGCAGGGATCTGGCTCCAGAGATCGACAGGTTGCTGCGGTCCGCTAACTCCTACATAAAGAAAAAGGTGAGCACTTTCACAGAGACGTTTTTTTTTTTTTTTTTGTGTGTCATTCAGCAGCACCTCATAATCCTGTGAACTTGTTTCCTTTAGGCTGCTTTGTGTGCTGTTCACATTGTAAGAAAGGTCCAGGATCTGGGAGAGCTCTTTGTCTCGGCCGCTCGTTCCCTCCTCTCTGAGAAAAACCACGGTTAGCATATTATAACAACACACTCATCTGTCCAATATCATCTCCAACGTCCCCACGTTCCTCTGTTTGTGTTTTTTTACCTGCAGGTGTGTTGCACGGTGCTGTGGTGCTGATCACTGAGCTGTGCGAGCGGAACCCAGAAACTCTGGAGCGGTTCAGGAAGGTGCGAACGCTGCACACACACACACACACATCCTGATCCGGGAGCTCTGCAGAGACCTCTTCAGTTGTTTCACTGTGTTTTGCTGTGTTTTGCAGACGGTTCCAGATCTAGTTCAGATCATGAAAGGCCTGGTCATTTCAGGTTACTCTCCAGACCACGACGTGGCAGGAGTCAGTGATCCTTTCCTACAGGTCAGCTTTTATAGAGTTCCTGCGGGGTCTTTAAAAAATCTTGAAAGCATTGAATTTAGGAAATTGGAACTAATACCTTAAAAAGCCTTGTATAATCTTGAATTTTGACTTGTATGTAAATCCTCTGTACTGTATTTGTCCTCTAAAGTTTAATTTGTCAACCGCAATCTTACAATCTTTTTATTTTTTTTATAATGTTGCTTAAATTTAAAGCGGCAGAACCAATAATTGAGAACGTAGCACAGCCTCGGGCCAAAATACTCCAAACACGTGATGCATTCAGCTCCCGCACCGCAGCAGTCATACAAAACACAGACCTCCAGCAGAGGAGAAACACGGAAAACCTCTGCAGAACATGAGCAAGGTTGACTGACACCTAGGGCTGGGTGCCAGAACTCTGGACCTCTTTGGGACTGAGTGATAACATTCGGTAGGTACCGATATCAGGAAGAAAAGTATTAAAAGTCCAAACGTGCCACCGTGGGTCACATGACTGATCCCGAGTCACGTTACGAGTCAGGGAGATGCGTCTCCTTTCAATAACACTTCTTTGCAGTTTGCGGATGAAAATGCTAGAGAAACTCAAACATTTAGATGCATTTGGTAAAAGTAAGCGGCAGCTAAACGCAACACCAGCAAGAAGATTTGTGCCGTGAAAATCAGGAGTAGCAGCAGTTTGTTTATTTATTTAGAAGACGCTTTTATCCAAAGCGACGCACAATTTATAACCTATAGGGCACGTTGTGATCTGTGGGGGAAACCGGAGGACACGGAGGAAACCCACGCATGCATGGGGAGAACACGCAACTCCACGCAGAAAGGCCGCAGCCGAGTTTCGAACCTGCGACCTTCGTGCTGCGAGGCAACAGTGCTAACCACTGCGCCACCATGCAGCCCAAAGCTGTTTAACAAAGCTGCTCGTTGTGCAGGGCATCATCTTGAGAGCTGAAGCGCGGAATGTCTGACTGCAGAACAGTAAACCCGAGTCCGTCAGCTTCCACATCGCTAGAGGAGCCTGAGGATGGAGGCTGATAAAAGCAGGAACAGGACATCAAACCAACTTAGCTGCTGTTTGCCAGCATTTTAAAAGCAGTTCATCAGGGTTGTTTGCACTGTAGCTTTTCTCTGTTTTTGCTTAGAAAAGATTGAAATTAGGTATAATATAAATAAATATAATAAAATAATATAAACAATAAGAACAAAACCTTTAGGTAGTTTGTTATCCTCTCTTAAAATGAAAAAATAAAGATTCCAACAAAAGTATTGTTAAGGTACCGCCATCAAAGTCCAGTTATCGTCAAAGTAATAGTATCAAGAAGTATCTTTTGGTACTCAGCCCTACTGATGTTATGTTTTAAACATTTGTTTTACATCTAGCTACCCTCTCTGTGAACGTTCAAACCGCTCTGCTGCTGTTCGCTACCGAGTGTTTTGGCAAAATAAGATAAATAAATGAACACATTTTTTACACAAGTGGTCTTGAAAAGGTCTTAAAAAGTCTTGAATTTAACTTGATGAAACCTGTAGGAACCCCGGTTTTAGTTCTCAGATGTCCAGCTTATGAAACAGAACAAAAAGTTGCATGTCTCGAACATTTTTGTGGTTCTTGTAAAAGTTAAGTGCATCTTTTTTTTCTACTTCCAGGTTCGCATCTTGAGATTGCTGAGAGTCCTCGGTCGGAACAATGAAACAGCCAGTGATGCTATGAACGACCTCTTAGCTCAGGTTAAACTTTTACACGTGATTCCTGAACTGACGACACATGTTGGGATCTAAGAGCTTTGTAGTAACGTGAGATTGTCCTCCCAGGTGGCCACCAACACCGACAGTACGAAGACCGTGGGGAACGCTGTGCTGTATGAGACCGTTCTCACCGTGTTGGACATAAAGTCAGAGAGCGGACTCAGAGTAAGGCTCACGGTGGAAAAAAAAAAAAGAAGTTTCCCATTTGATAAGAAATTCCTAAAAGACCCGACTTGTTCCTCAGGTTCTGGCCGTAAACATTCTGGGAAGGTTTCTCCTGAACAACGACAGGAACATCCGGTCAGTGCTGCTTCTTTCCTGCTTCCTCTCCTCATCTTTGTTTTTCTTATCGTTTATATCCCTCCTTTTCCTCTAATCTCTCAGCGTGGTTTTGGCTTTTTTCTTTTGCCAAGGCTAGACTCAGTGCAGTCAATGAGAGGAAACTTTTCCCAGCAGGCTGCCATCATCTGAGCTGGCTAATTGTTTTCCTTGAGGCATTTCCACACCAGACGGTCCCTGTCTGCCCATTTGGTTTCATCCCTGATTTCATTGCATTTCAGCAGTGAAGGTGGAGGCCTGTTATAGCGTTTCCTGTTGTGCGAGTCTCCTAGGGGCAGACGAGTCTGTCTGGTTTCTGCTGCAGCTCCCTGTTACCGGGTGACATTAATGAGACTGGCGTATTCCTGTCAGACCTGCCGGACTAGATAACATCTTTTCTCTCCCACATCAATAGTTGACTTAAGGTAGACTGACAAACATCTAAACTGAAAAAAAAAAAAATATTTATTGTTAGGTGATATTTTTTTAATTGTCATTTTAAACAGTTTATTTAATTAATTAATTAATTAATTTTGTTCATTTTGTGTTATTAACTAAACAAGTTGAATTAAATGTAATCCAGTGGTCATCACACTTTATTACTAGGTAACAGATAAAAACGATTACTTTCACTTTGTTGTTCCATGATGCACACTGGCAGAACGAGGGCAAAACACCAGGGGTCTCATTTATCAAACATTGCGTAGAATCCTTACTAAAACTGTACTTAAGCTCAGCAAACAAATGTACTTACGCCAAGCAGGTTTGTGATCTATCAAACATGGAGTACGCACAGCTGCACGTAATCTCCGCTTTATAAATCGGAGACTTAACGAGAAAGTTTCTCAGCTGCATTTTAGTCACATCCCGCCCTCACCACGCCCACTTAATGCCATAAATAGTTAATGCAAAGTGCCTTGTGGATCTCGTGCATGTACCTAAGCCGGCTGTTGCAGCGCTCCACCAATGACATGGCGACCGTAGCTCAAGGCAGATCAAGGAAGCGCTATTTCACAGAAGCAGAAGTTGAGGTACCTGTGGGTGAGGTGGAGAAATGAAAGGAAGAGTGCTTTTGCAAAACAAATAAGAGAAAATCCATTCTTGCTCTGTGTGAAAACGAAGAATTACAGGTGATCATGCTGCAGGATTTCATAATTGTATCCTTCTCAGCAGCAGCACTGCAGGTGCTCTCCATGTCCAAAATGAGCGTAAGCCAGGTCCTTAGTCAACTTAAAGTTGCGCACATTTTTCCACTAAGTTTTCTCTCATAAATCCCAAAGTTTGCGTGGAAAGTTGCTTACGCAGTTTTCCGACCCAGTTTTGTGTGTAAGTAAGCTTTATAAATGAGCCGCCTGGGCAGTGTGACGGTTTAATTTGTAACCCCCGACTTGCTTAGTGGTATTTCATCCTGTGGCATTTTTCCTTCCAGTTCCAACGATAAAAATACAACTTTTTTTGTTTTGGTCTTTTGGTCAGTGTTGTTTTTTTTTAACTGATTAATCAGTTTGACCTTTTAATTAGCTGGTAGTTATATTTGTTTTATACTAACGTCTGAATGTTATGAAAACATTTATTTGATTCAAATAATTTTATGATTTACTGTACTAATTTTAGTTCAAATAAAGTAACGTTGGACTCCTAATTTGGACCTTCATAACATTTGATCACCTGTAAATAGTGGCGCCGTTACATGCTGGCCATAGATACTACCATTGTTCTCTGATAAACTATTTTTAAATGTTATTTTTGAAATACAATCGATCATCGAGTTTAACATGCATGCTGAATGTGAAAATGGTCACCAACCCCTATTTCCTGCATCTCCGCACTGACGCAGACGGAGAAGCATGACTCAGGCTTAAGCCGCCAAAATAAAAGACTGGGAAATGCTTGAGTAAGAAAGACCCTGGGTGTTTCTCAATGTCAAGTCACCTTGCCTTGCGAGGTGATGTCTTGCGAGGCCAGGCGCCTTGCTTACAAGTACACTGTCCTTCCTTGGTCAAAGAAAACTGTTAAATGGAACAGACTGACCGTGGCTTCCATGGCGGTCACGTAACGCCACGTGACACGGGAGATAACGTTACATTTTACATGTATATTTGTTAAATTAAATATAGAAGTGAGTTTCTACCCGCTAGCCACCGAAACTGCACTAATAAGCAACTAACCAACCATAGGTAATTTCTTTGGATAAAAAAAAAATAATAATTTTAATTAGTTTTCTTACTTTTAAACCTGAAAATTGACCCTGAAGTAGCTGCCGGCTTATGATCCGCCATCCCTTTGAAAACACAGCAGTGTATTCTGGGTAATTTTTGACCAAGGCTAGGCTACAAGACACCTCCCATGTATCCTTGCTCAGCTAGCTAAACAGCTAACAAACGGAGAACACATGCCTCAGTAGAACATGAACATTGGAACACGTCTTGGCGGCTCCTGATGACGTATCTCCTAGGCAACCGGGGCGGGGCCAAGACATCAAGGCAAGGTTCCTTGGCATTGAGAAACACCCCGTCTCTTGTACGTCACAAGGAACATTAGCATTCATGGCCCCGCCCATTTTAGCTCTTGATAGGGGAAGCTGTGATTATGTAGTGACCAGGAGAGAACAGAGCTTGTAGAAGCTAACCATTAGCATTAGCAATTCCACATCACGGTGGAACACGTTCAGGCTTGTGTTATTTGAGGAGACAAAACATCCACGTTTCATTTTTTACCCGAGAAAGAAAAGGAACGGAGGCAGCGGAAGAGTCACTTTGTTAGCCAATTAGAGGTTAGCATATGATGAATATTAGTAAAACTTGTAATCCCGTCATTTCCTGTCCTCTACTCCTCCAACAAACTTCTAACCCCTAAAACACGATCGCCAGAGCTTTTTTCCTCTCAAAATGACTCAGAAATAATTCATTCATAGAGACCACATCATATTTATTAAAAAAGGAGGGAATAAGACCTTTAACGCATGAACTCTGGATATTTTCTACTTTAATCCATCAGAAAACAACTACCATGTTCCAGCTGAAGGGAAGCAGTGAGTGCAGTGTGATCAGAGTAATCAGCTTAAATAATAAAATATTTCTACCAAACAATGGTGCTTGTGGCTTTTTCCATGATGTAGAGATCCTAATAAAAGCTCAAAGTGATCACAGGATTAGTGTCTGTCTTCCTTGCATATTTATAAAAAATGAAATGATTTCATGTTTTAGTTATTTAAAGGTCATGCTGTCAGTTATCAGATAAGACAGGTCTCCTTTTTCTCCTAAAACCCCAGCAGCGAGGCGTCCATCCTCGTATGTTTTTGAGATGTTTATTCAGAGTGTCTCCACCTTCTTGCCATAGAAACACTTGTCGCATCATTAAAGACCTAAAATTAGATTTCACCCCAAACAGTTTCATGGCTAAGGTGCGCCCTGCAGGTCGCTGTGTAATTCAGTATTAAGCTGGAGGAATCTTAAAAACCTCCTATATGTGTTTGTTTTTGTCCACATGTAGGTATATCGCCATGACTTCTCTTCAGAAAATAGTTGTGACGGACCATAATGCAGTGCAGCGGCATCGCGGGACTATAGTGGACTGTCTGAAGGACCAGGACGCATCTGTCAAGCGGTGAGTAGCAGCTCCTTTTGGTTAGTGGTGCTGATGAAAGAACATCAGCTGATCAGTTCCCACCTCTGTTCCTCTCGCGGTCCACCAGACGAGCCTTAGAGCTCTCCTTGGCTTTGGTGTCAGCTTCCAACATCCGCTCTATGATGAAGGAGCTGCTCGTCTTCCTCTCCTCCTGCCCCCTCGAGCTCAAGGCTCAAGCTGCTAGCGGCATTTTCATCGCCGCTGAAAGGTGAGTGAAACACTGCAGGCTCGTTACTCTGCTGCACGGTGGTGTGTCAGAAGAACTAGGCTGCGTTTTTCTCAGACTATTGATTATTAATTAGATTTATGTAATGTACACATTTTCACGTCGCGTTTTATGTCCAGTTGAGTCTGCAACAATGAGATCATTGTTCTTCCTTTATTCGTTCACACACATCACTCTGTGTCTGTTTCCACAGAGCCTTATACAGCAACTCAATGCACTGTTTGTGTGTATAAGCAGAAGACTGAGTGTGTGTGTGTGTGTGTGTGTTCTCTATCAGCACTACTCAGTTAGCTGTGTGTGTCTGTTAGGTATGCACCCTCCCAGCGTTGGCACATTGACACCATCCTGCATGTCCTCACTACGGTAAGAGCTCACAGAGACACACACCCTTCATCCGTTCACCCTGTCAAGAAAAGGTGGATGTCGCCTCCAGGAGCAGAAACCTCCTTAACTTGGGCCTAGTCCACGCGTAGCCGGGTTTTTTTTTTAAACGAATATCCGCCCCTCCAAAAACTTGCATCCACACCACCTCGTTTAAAAAAAAAAACCTCTGTCCACACGTACCCGGATAAATACGTTGTTAAGGACATGCCAGACCTGTAGGCGGCAGTACTTCCCCCGTTCTTAACCTCGTCCTTCGTCTGTGGTCTTCCACAAGGAGCAGTAATTCCGCTTGCAAAAACAAACAAGCAAAAAGCACTTGGACAATTGATAAAGCAAGCACAGCTCTGAGGGCTTCCATGATGCCGGCTAGTGTAAACACAGGTCGCACACGTGATGTCAGCATTTTTTTGCCGCGGAAAGTGACGTTGCGGATCTTAAAACTCCGGTTTTGTCTGTCCACGCGCAGACACCCAAAACGGAGAAAACGCAGATCTTCACTTTGGCCGGAGTTTTTAAAAAGATCTGTTTTCGTGTGAAAAAACTCCGTTTTCGTGTGGATGACAGGCCAAAACGTAGAAAAATATCTACGCTTTGGCAGATCCCCGGCTACGTGTGGACAGGGCCTCAGACACGTCAACTCCTCTGGTCTCAGTAAAAGTCTGGTTGTTTAGAAGTTAATGAGTTTATTTTAGAAATAACTCCGCTGTAAAGCTTTTATTCAAAGACCCCCAATCCTGCCTGTTTTAGTTGTTTCCCTGTTTCAGCACACTCGTTGAGTTATCCAATCATCTCTTGAACACTCAAAGCCTGTTGTTCACTGATTGGTTAAATCCAGATGTGGTTGGAGCTGAGAAACATCTGGTGTTTGTGACCCACATTCCTGTCTGTTATTCTCACCCTGCCAGGCAGGGGGCGACGTGAGGGACGAAACTGTACCCAACCTGATTCAGCTCATCACCAACACGTCAGAGCTGCACTGTTACACCGTCCACAAGCTCTACCGGGCTCTGCTCGAGGACATCTCCCAGGTCCGAGCGGTTGGTTGTTTCTGCTCTTAAAGGAGCCGCTCAGCTTTGATGGAACCAAATTTAGTTTAGGATTCAGTAACGTGAGCTTGTGTCTGAAGAGTGGCGCAGTTTGAAGTGTTGAGTTACATGTTTTCTATCCAGGTGTGTATACAGAGGATTTAACTGTTCATCTTTGTTTCCACAGCAATCTCTGGTCCAGGTGGCGTGCTGGTGCATAGGAGAGTATGGAGACCTGCTGCTGAGAGGAGAGTGTCAGGAGACCGAACCTGTGCAGGTAAACAGTCGAGGATTGATGCGACTTAGTGGGAGATTGTGAGTGTTTTTTCATTTTTACAACCCGTGTCTAGGTCGGGGATTGTAACAAACACAGGGAGGCTACACAGAGGGATATGGAACAGCATGTGTTGTGGCTATTTTCATTGATTTCAGTAAATTATTGGTTTGATCCACTCTTGTTTTCTTTAAAGCAGTAAAAATAAAAGTTGGTTTGTAATTTAAATGTGTATATTTTTATTTTTGGTAAAGTTTTGGACCCTCCCATTAATTAGGTAGATTAAGATCCCACTGGGAGGTTTTGTTTGTCAGACGGAGGTGACGGGAGGGTTTAAATAAAGTTTTTACCACCTTGTAGACTTGATGGGTTAGTTTTAGTGAACATTTGTTTAAGTTGAGGATATCAGACATTATTGGGTGATTTTGAGTTGTATATTTTCAAAAACTCATCTGGAGCATGTTCAGAAGGAAACCACCTGTTTTCCTTTTGGAAGGTAAAGGGACTTTTCAATTTTTATGCTCGCGATTGCCCCCTCAGGCCAAAAGCGTAACGGCAGCTTCAATAGTAGGCTCATGCACGAGGCGCGCATGCTGTACGTGCACACTCCTTAATGAAAATAACAGCTGAGACAGTCCCGTGTGTGTGTGTGTGTGTGTGTGTGTGTGTGTGTGTGTGTGTGTGTGTGTGTGTGTGTGTGGCCCGGAGGACAGAAGAACACAGGAAATTAATAAAAAATAATGTGCCTCTGTCTCTGCAGCTGCTTTCTCGTCGGCCGGCCAAACGTGCAGTGTGTGTGTGTGTGTGTGTGTGTGTGTGTGTGTGTGTGTGTGTGTGTGTGTGTGTGTGTGTGTGTGTGTGTGTGTGTGTGTGTGTGTGTGTGTGTGTGTGTGTGTGTCCCGGAGGACAGGAGAACACGCAGCTAATTAATTAAATAATTTGGTTCTGTACCTTTCTCTTCAGCACAGCCAACAAAGGTTTATGATGGGTCAGTCCTCCTGCATGCTCAGATCATTCCCTTCCCTTGCTTGAAAAATTGTTCCAAAATGAAAGTTGAACCCACATCTTTTTTATCTGTGAATTCAATGCCGTTCGGTGAGTCTCAAATAAAAATTTGGGCGTCTTATTACTGTAAAAAAATTATCATTAATGTAAAAAAGAAACTCCAAATAACAAACTTTGTTCACACCCAGAATCGAACCCAGGTCTCTTACATGAGAGTCAGACACCTTACTAGGTGAGCTAAAGCACCAGTGATGTTCTTTGTATCTGTAACATTTATATCCTTGATGACAGCTGAAACAACGTTCAAAGAACGGTTCGGAGCAAAAATGGCTGTTTTGTTGCTAATTTGCAGGAAATATCTAGAAGAAAGTTCTAAAGAAAGTAGCTAAGGGTCCTCAGAAATGTAGCTAGATTCATCACTAGGCATTAGGAACAGCAACAAATTCAATTAAATTCTATTCAAAAATACTTTATTAATCCCAGAGGGAAATTGATTGTTGTAGTAGCTCAGAATAATAATAATTAACAAGTCATCAAAGAGTTGTTGTATATTACAATGGCTGTTGGCAGGAAGGATCTCCAGTAGCGGTCGGTGTTGACAAAGTCGCTGAGTTGGCACTACCTCTCTCTCTGCTGCTAAAGCTACTGATAGCAAATGCTACGGGCGATGCCTGAGCGTGAACGCGCATGAAGGAGCCTGCTCGACCCGAGCATCTCTCTTTTTCTGTGATTTTACAGAAAAACAGGCAATCACAGTAAAAATGCCAGGGCTCATCCTACAGGACCAGGGCATTGCAGGAGAATGTATGAAGTCATGTTTTGACTGTCAAACTTCCTTACAGTCCCTTTAAAAGGCAGCATCAGGGTGTGTGAACTGATGATGAATGCAGATAACTGGTGATGTGAAACTAGTCAGTGCCAAGCTTAGAAAGGGCCACACTACAGGGTCACCCACATCCAGACGTTGAACACATTACTAAACAAAGATGTTTTCATTAGTGACTGAGCAAGGTTTTCTTTATTCATCATAAAGTTAAAGAGCAAGTCACCCCAAATCAACTTTTTTTCTGATAAACTATATAAATGTGTGTCTGATCGTGCTGCAGACACGTGTAGTCAGTAGTTTTGCACTTAAGTGCATTTTAGTTAAAAATTTAATTTTCTGCCTAAAACTGTCAGTGTTGCGCTGTTGTCAGGTAAAAACTCTGCACTGCATTTGAATTTAAATCTGCCATCGCTATTGGCTAAGAGGTGCCCTTGAACATTAGCTGGTACCATATGATGTCACAATGTTGTGAGCCTGTGTGTGTGTGTATTTGTTAGCGGCTCCGCCCTCTCGGTCTGCTAGGCAACAGCATTTGTTGCATTTTTCAAACAGGAAGTGGGAGTGGAGTAATACTCTGGTAGGGGGTGACTTGCTCTTTAAGGTAAATATGCTATAAAAAAAACTCCCAGATTCCTCTTTTTGTGCTTGAAACCATCTTTCAAACATCTTTTTGTCCCATCAGGTCACGGAGGACGACGTCCTGGACGCTCTGGAGACTGTTCTACAGTCTCACATGTCGTCACCAGCAACCAGAGGCTTCGCTCTCACCGCCACCATGAAACTGAGCACACGCATCTCTGACAATGTGGAGTAAGAAGAAACATCTATGCCCTTTGTTAAAATATTAGTTACCAAGCAAAATCAAAAACACTTAGTCACGTGCCTTTTATTTCTGTACGTGTTAGACTCACAGATTATCTGTAGGATTAGAGAGACAACATTAAGATCACTTCCTGTCTCCTCATCCCTGTTCTAGTCGCATCAGGAGCATCGTTAGCATCTATGGGAGCTGCATCGACTTGGAGCTCCAGCAGAGGGCGGTTGAATACAACGCGCTCTTCAAAAAATATGACCACATGAGGTAGGAGAGAGATTTCCCTAAACAGCACAGGTTTTATTCATCCGTGAACCTGAAACTGGTAACTGAGGTGGTCTCTCCTCAGGGCAGCAGTGCTGGAGAGGATGCCGGTGATTCAGAGGAACTCTTCGGGCCAGAACAGCGAAGATGCATCAGAGGAGACCATCAAGGAGATCCAAGTGACCAAAGTCAAACAGGAGGAGTTGGTGCTGGCGCAGCAGCCTGCTGGGCCGGTACGAAGTCATGATCAAGTATTCACTAATGTGTTGGTGTTCAAATGGGTGAGTGTTTTCCTCCTTTCTGTGTTTCAGGTGTGTGATCTCCTAGACCTACTGAGTGGCCCTCAGGAGCCCCTTCAGCCCAGCCTGGCACCGGCGCAGCCCATCAGTACAACCACCGCCGCTGGAGGAGACCTCCTGGATCTGTTGGGTGGATTAGAGCTTACTCCCCCATCCTCAGGTCTGATCTACAGATGCACTAAGCTGATGCTGGACAGATTTTATATCTGGACACAAAAAGGGTTCATTCTTGAACATAATTTAGGCAAAAGCAAGCGCATAATATCTTGTTCCCGTCACCCCTCCACAGCTCCCACTGTGACCATTTATGAGAAACATGGCGTGACTTTGACACTCGGCTGTGAACAAGAGTCAGACTCGGGCCTGTTGGCCACCCTCACAGCCTCCAACTCCTCTGACTCAGACATCAGCAGCTTCACCCTGCAAGCTGCAGTACCCAAGGTTCGTTTGTCTGTTTTTGTTGCAGAGCTAGAGCAGATAATGAGGAATATAAAGGATGGATCAATAGGTGTAGATGGTCTGTCATTAAACCTGTTTTTGATTTTAAAATATGAGATTACTGGGATTAACAGGGAGGGGGCTTCTACACCAAACTCTTTATTCTTGAGTTTCTTTAAATCAGGACATGATGTGTTGCATTTGAGATCTTTTAGCCTATTTCGTTGTCGGGCAGATTTAATTGAAGTGATAACTTAATCCAACAGATCTGGGTGTAGCTGGTAGAACTGAATTATTATCGATATTTTATTACCTCACTGATCTGGAGAACTTTTCCTCCTAAATATACAAAATTGTCTGAAAGCTACGTTTTTATTTGCTCCAATTATTTTCATCCGATGTTAAAATTAGTTTTCTGATTTAAAATATTTAAATATGGCAAAAAATATCAGCTTAGCACAAATATAAATAATAACTCAACAGTTCTGTATTAAAGCTGCAATGGCTAATCTACTGAAGAGCTAGCTTTAAACACAAATACGGTCACACCGTTGGCCGTCATCCCTAGGCCCTGGCCCCCTGATGTGAGAACACACATCGCCACGGTAAACGAGAGAGCGCTAAACACCATTCTCGGTTTTCTAGGACCAAACGTCTTTTGTTGTCTGCAGTATTTAGATGTGAAGGTTTAAAGGATTTGTAAATGCTTCCCCCAGCTCTATCTTTGGGTAGGCGTCTGAACCCTCGTCTACATCCTGGTCAGCCGTCGGTAAAGAATTCAGACTATATCTGCTTTTGTCGGTAGACGGTACGGCAAACAGAGCTGAACAACATGCGTATCTGATAATTCCTAGTTTTGTTTGATCCTTCCAGAGCGTGCAGCTACACATGAAGGCCCCCAGCAGAGACTCTCTTCCTGCTCGAGGTGCAGCTGAGCTGACCCAGACGGTGGTTCTCAGCAACCCAAACAAGGTGGGTCTGCGAGGAAACCCGATGGTGGTTGGCGTTTCTGCTCTGGGTGCCATCCATCATATCACATCCCAGAAGAAGACCTTCACCTACAAACTCTGTGATAAAATGTCACAAAGTCCAGAAGGTTTCACTGACATATTTCAAGGATCGGGGTTTAATAAAACGTCATTTTTCTTGTAACTTTCAGGTTAATCTGAAAATGAGGATTCGTATCTCGTACACCAGCCAGGGATCAGCTGTTCAGGACACGGTCCAGGTTGACTCCTTGCCTGGACTCTGATCGTGTGGATCTGGGGTCCTCGGAGCACCGGTTTTGTTGTTTTTCTCTGAAGAATGTCATTGTGACGGTTTTTCTACTCATCAGGAACATGGTGCACACTTATGGATCTGCAGGAATTTTCTGAAAAAGTTGAATTTGTAGTTTTATTTGTAAAGGGGAGCGGTCAAACGACACAGTAAAATTATGAGTCCATTTAAGAAAAATCAGATTAAATATTGTTTATTAAGTTATTGAAGCCACTTTACTTTTTAAATCCACTTCAGTACTATTTATTACTTGGTGTGATGGATTCAGCAACATGAGTAAACGGTTTAAATATTATGGTTTTAGGATTTCCAAATCACTTATTTTTTTAAAAGAAAAAACCTGACATTGTTTTTGTCATTTAACTGGACTCTTATCTGCTTTTAAGGTTTTTATTTATATTTCAACTCAGATGAAAGCATTAAAAATCAAGGATTTTAGTTTTTACAAGCTACTGTTTATAGATTCAGAGAAGATATTTTTTGCAGCTCATGTTCGTGTTGTTGCTCACATCACTCCATCGACACCCCTACCTCTGAAGACGTCTTTTTCCTGTTTGCACTGTTAAGTCATTAAACACTAACAGATCAGCTTCTACGGTTCTTTAATGCAAGCGATTATTTTTTTCTTGAAGTGGAAAAACTTAGCCTAAGGGTGGATTTTAAACACAACCTCGTGTTGCCTTCACACTGAGAAGATCCAGGTATTTAACTCCTGACCCTTTCCTCTGTGCCTTCTGTTGTTTTTGTTTAATAATCCCATACAACATTCAGCCTGATTATTAACCCTCTATTATTTGTTTACATTGAAAATCTGATTATGAAAGCCAGGCATAGTGGTAGATATTAGGCACAGCTCAGCTTACAGGAAGGATATTTTAGGTATTAAATGTAAAAACACAAAGACCAGCAGGTTCATCTTTGACTGATTTCATCCTCACGTTTGTGGAAACACTACCGATGAGACTTTTGACTTATCTGTAAAGCAATGAGCAGAAACAATCTTCTGTCAGCTGTTAAGATTGTCTTTGAATATTCCGGCTTATTTGCCATTTTCTAATAAAAAAAACACCTTGTAAGTTATTTAGTGGGTGTCTGTGGTCAAATGTTTTCTTTCAATGAAGGACAACACTCCATTTTCAGCCTTTATTCACAAGCAAAAGTGTTTTTAGACTTTCTGTCGCCTAGTGTGGGTGCCTTCAAACAGGAAAAAAGCCAGTGTGGATTTACAAAATATAATCTACAAATGAAATAAAACGTCCATTTTTGAGGCTTGATTTTCTGTTTGTTGTTGGGTTGCCTGATGAGTGGAGTTTGACATTTTTTTCCCTCACTGTAGCACGGTAACATACGCTTTTAAATGCTGGCGTTCAGCAGGTCTCAGCAGCTCATGATAAAGAGGAGAGGTGTATGCTGCAGCTGTGAGGTGTTGATCCTCCTCTTAACGCCAACACAAGATGGAGCACTGAGCCACCCTGGATCTTGTAGTCTGCAGCTGTTTTCTCATCATTCCTGAAGACAAAGTCACAGAAGAGTGGGCACAACGTGGATTAGAGGAGAACATTTGAGAACCGTCAAACTGCTTCAGAGAAAGGAGGCTAAAACAGAAGCTCACATCTGTTTCCCACTGTAGATCAGCCTCTGCTGCTGTGGGGGGATCCCTTCTTTTTCTTCCACTCTTTCTTTAATTCGCTCCACCTTGATTTACACGAACACACAGAAAATGCTAGAAAGTCGGGAACTCACAGGTCTGCATTTGGATTAATTCCTAGATGTTTATTTCAAGCGTTCACCTTGTCTGTAGGTTCAATATCGATTTCTATTTCCTTTCCAGTCAGGGTCTGAAAATGAGAGAAAAAAAACCCATTTGGTTTTGGTTTCACATATTCTTGTTTTAGTTTCAAATCTGACATCCCCTCTACATCTGTTTATTCAAAATGGCAACGGTTAATGCTTTTATGAGAATTGTTAACCCACATTTCATTAAGTCATTCCTTTTTATACATCGCTTAGACCGTTTGCTGTTTTTCGTGTAAACAAGTTAAGCTTCTTCGTGAATGTGCTTTTAATATATTAATACAAACGATTGCATTTTACAAAAAGCATAATGGTAAAGGCTTTAGAGGCTGTAGTAACTGGTTTCCGATCCAGCCTGGTGCTCAGATTGAATCTGCTGCGGATTTTGATGTGTCTGATGTGATCAGTGGCTTTTTGTTTGGCTTAATTAGTACATAATAAGAACATAGTTCGCATTTTATTTGTCTGAACAATGGCTTCAGAAACGCTGATAAATACAACCTTGCATTATGAAATAACCATCTAATACTAAGGTACTTTGTCAATAACTGAGAAATAGCATTCGGTTAGAAATCTAAAGTCATTTTAAAAGCCTGGAACCAAAAATGAACCGGTGAAGAGGTCAAAGAGCAACAAATACCGACCACATGGGACTTCAAGCTGAATAAAACAACTTTTCTTACCTTCACTTTGATCAGCATGTTGAATAAATGATATTTTTTCTATTATAAAGAGTTTAATTCGGTCAGTGAGCAAACAGTTAGCAATTTAGCTCGTATCAACCCACTCACTTAGCTAACTCGACTTTACTTCCTGTGTAGCACAATAAAGTCCTGATGTCACGTTACCGCAGAACAATGGTTCCGCTGCGGGAAGACTTCAAGTTGATGAATTATTTTATTAAAACTTTTGTTTTATTTTCGTAGAAATGTACATTTGTCAGTCATTCATTTAACAATATATAAATATGTTGCTGCTTGCAATGTGGGTTTTGGGTATTTAGGCTAAAATAAAGCTAACCACATTTTTTTAATTATAAAATAGTTTACTATCCTTCATCAGGATTAAATCACATTTCCTGAAATTTTTTACCTGCATCTCAATTGGTACAAATTAGTTTCTAACATTATCATAAAATACAATGTGATTTTATTTTATTACATCAAAGTTGTTGGAAATTGAAATTGTTTAAAGTTTTGTATTGACCCTTTTCCGAGGGTCAGTGAACGCAGCATAACTGTGCTGCTTTAATGCAGGTGTGGATCATTCCTCTAATTAGCCTAGAGTAGTATAAAAAACATGACATTCATTTTGCCTGAGATCCACTAGACATGGAAACTCATTTCAGCCTTGGTGTGGTAATCATGGCAGTTTTAGCTGCAGCAGCTTTTGCTGAACCAGGTACTGTAAATGCACCTACAAGGAAACTTGTCTTTGTAACCTGCTTTATATGCATGAAAGTCATGTTTTTTCCCCTTAACTTTGTCTGCAGATATTAAAGTAATGTGTGAAAAAGACTCTGTGAATGTCCTCTGGAGGGTAGGTCCCCAGTTTGTGCCTTATGCTGCGCGCTTCTTCCTTGGAAGCTGCATGCCTTCCAGGTGGACAGTTCTACCTACCGGAGAGGGAGAAGCGCATTTTAATTATAAGTTTTCTGATTGCAGGTTTATTAAACAGGTAAGTGTAACTGCATTATCCAACAAATCTGCACATTCTCTAGTTTAACTTCATCTTCTCTGCAGTTTAAAGGGAAACACATTATGTATCAGAATGAACTGAGTTTCAGACCACAAGCCAAACCAAAACCTGCTGTTTTCAAATACCCCATCAAATGTGTCTATAAACGGTATGTTCTCATTTTCAATGTTCTGTCTGATTTTTTTTAAAGTAAAAGGATGTTAAGTTTTAATTCCCGTCATTTAGACCTGAAGGGTGGGTCCCCAAGTTTCTAAACCCTGGATCAGGTGCTTCTTCAGGACGCAGTAAGCTGGTCTTCCACATGGCACTCCTCAATGGTAAGTCCTGCTCTCTAAGTTCAGATTTATGGACAGAATGTCTGTCTGATCTTGCTTTCCCATCCCTCAAGAGCAATTAACGGGTGTCGCGAAGACCAATGTGATCCCCCTGGGCTCATTCATTCCGATCTGGGCTGCTGTTGAGCAGAAAGCCCACCAGCCGTTACTATTGCTCATGGATGAATGTGTTGCAGCCACCACTCCAGAGCTTCAGCCTGGGAGCCAGGTTTATCCCATCATTGGCAACAATGGGTAGGATGTGATTCAACTTGATTGGATTGCAGACTGCCGTGTTAATTAAAAATATATATATATATATTTTTTTTGTCAGGTGTCTTTTGGAAAGCAGGGCCGGCAACTCCATGTTTCTACCTAGGTACCACTCATCTGCCATAATCCTCTACCTCCAGTCATTCAGGTTTGGTCTGGAAGGAGAGGTACGATCTGGATAAGTCCTACCTTCTCTCTGGATTTGCTTCAGGTCTACAGTAACTTTGTGCTGTTTAGGTGTACATCCACTGTAATCTGGTTGTGTGGGACAGCAATGAACTTGACCAACAAAGGAAGGCTTGTCATGTAAAGGACCATGGAAGGTAAGTAACTTGTGAAGTTCTGTCATCCAAAGAAAAGGACTTGGGATTGTGTAAAATTTGCATACTAGTGAGTACCTTAGTCAGAAGTACCCTGATCTTGGGTTACAAAAAACTAAATGAACTGTACTGGAATGTTTACTGTGTGAAGTGCCTTGGGATGACTTGTGATTTGGGGCTTTATAAACTTTTTTTTTTTAAATTTGACTCAAAATTCAAATGTAAACCTTCCAAGATGTATAAGTTGACAAGTGAACATGGTTCCTTGATTTCTCAGATGGGAATTACTTGATGACCCATCTCGGAGCTCCTTGTGTGACTGCTGTGACTCAGTCTGTGCCGCTCGCAACAAAAGAGCAGCTGAATGGGGTAGGTCTAATTTAAAAAAAAAAAAAAAAAAAAAAAAAATAAAAATTTAATTTTAACTTGTATTTTTTTTCTCTCTGAAAGTAGAGTCTCACAGCAGGAGCTTCAAAACTGTGTTGGGGCCAATCATTATCGTCGAGCCATCGTCTGTGTCCAACACCACCTCCCCCGAGTCTGGATTTGCCTTTAATACTGAGGTATGAGCAGTCTGTCAGGGGAAAAACGTCTGCTGCAAACAGACTTGTTTTTTCTTCTAAGGAGATGGCTCAAAGCTGATGGACCTTGGCTGGCTCACTTTGATCTAGAGGACCTTGGATGGCAGCTGTCTACAATCCCTACTTTTGATTTGTTATACTGCAATGGACACTTTACTTATTGTAAAATAAAATGTTTCATTTGACTTTTGTTTATAGTGGCTTTCAAATTATTAAACTTTAAAATTCTCTCTACTCTAATGACCAGACTAAAGAACTCTACAGCTCGTCACAGCTGCATATATATTGCCTTCTCTGGAATCTTGAAGTTGAGATGGGCCTACAGTTTAGTTGAGTTAAATCTTCAGAGGGTTTGAAAATTGCTTTTAGGCAAAGGTCACGCATTGTCCATAAACTAGTGTTTTCATGTAGGTTGGGATTCTTTTAAAAATAAGAACCCCATCCGAAGATCGTGTGTGTAGTTGGTCATTGGGACAAATTTATTCAGTTTGAATTAATCAAATTGCAGCAACTAAATCCTGTGACAAGCCTTTAGAAAATGTGCACTAGTATGTGGAAGTGGAAAGGTATGAGGTGGGAGTTTAAGGAAAACTGCCCTCTACACAGTTTGAAGATAAAAGCGCAGTTTTTGCATTTTAGGACTCTCATATTGCTGTTATCCAACTCCTACACCTTTATTCCTTTTTGATTAAGCTTCTATAGCATGCACTTCCCCCTATGAGAAGTAATTCCACTGGGAAATCTACAACCACTACACTAGGTTTAGTTGTATTTTTTTTTTCCCCTGGAAAGTTAGAATATAGTTTTAGATGACTTATAGCAGTAATCTGAAATTTCTCAATGGCATACTGAATTTTAGCATACCTGTCGCCGAAAACCAGCAATGAAGGTGTCTGTGGGGAGTCAAACCTTAGCTTTCAGCGCACGCAATCAAAATCTCAACACTGGGCTTAATTCTCACTTAGAAGGCCTTTCTCATCGACTTGGACACTTTCACTTGTGATCAAGCAGTTTTAAAAAGTATCTGAGAATGGCAAGGTTGAATCAATAGATGTAGGTGTATCACTCCACAAAAACAAAATATGCATATGCAGGAAGTGAAAACTAACCCAGGAATGCGCATGTGCGACAGTGGCCTTGCATGAAAGCTTCACCAGTATTATTGACAGTTATGCAGACCAACGGTTCAAATGATCCACCCAGAAGAAAAATATCCTGCTATTCCTTAAGTGCCTTGAGAGTTTGAACTGCATTGGCCATTTTGGGTGGCTTTTAAAGCAGTTGTAGAGAGAAAAGGGACAAATAAAACAAAAATGAGATCACAACACCAAACACGGATATGTAACAGTAACGATAGTCACCGAATTGCACACGTTCATTCATGGTGCATTTAGTGTCAACCATAGCCAAGGTAATGAGTCCATACTTGTGAGGATGTGCTATGCAGATGACACCCACCTCTGTCATTTCCACCGGATGACCATGCTGTCTCTACACAAATATCAAACTGTCTCTCTGACATATCGAAATGGATGAAATCCCACCATCTTCAACTCAACCTCTCTGAAACTGAACTACTTGTCATCTCAGCAAATCCATCCATTCAGCACAATATCTAAATCCAAAATGACTTCCTATCTCTGGCTCCTTCAAAGGCAGTTTGAAATCCTGGTGTTGTGATTGATGAACACCTGAGCTTTAAAGATCATGTTGCCTCTGTTGCCCATTCATGCCGCTTTGCGCTGTATAACATACGAAAGATCAGACCATACCTAACACAACATGCCACCCAGCTCCTGGTGCAATCTACTGTCATCTCCCGCCTCGATTACTGCAACGCCCTTCTAACTGGTCTTCCACTCTGTACAGTGAGACCTCTTCAAATGGTCCAAAACGCAGCGGCGTGCGTGGTCTTCAATCAGCCAAATAGAGCACACGTTCACCCCTCTGTTCATTGAGCTCCACTGGCTACCGCTAGCAGCACGCATCAAATTCAAATTGCTAACACTAGCATACAAAGTCCGAGATGGTACGGCTCGCATCTACCTGAATCCTCTTGTAAAGGCTTACGTCTCGGCCCGGCCGCTCCGGTCATCAAAGGTTCGTCGGCTATCAGTGCCTACACCACGCTCAGGACAATCCAGACTCTTCTCATGCATCGTTCCACAAATGTGGAATGACCTACCAAGCACTACCAGAACAGGGGCTTCCTTTTCAATTTTCAAGAAACTCCTGAAGACCCTGCTCTTCAGAGAGCATCTTCTTAACTAGTACCCTCTCTGCACCCGTCCCCCCTCTCTACTGTCCACTCCTTGTTCTCTGCTCTCCATGACTGATGTCAAGTTGTTGTTATTGTTGTTGTTAGCCTCAAGGGCAATATGCCGATTATCACTTGTAAGACGCTTTGGACAAAAGCGTCTGCTAAATACATAAACATAAACATGTGTGTGTGTATAAGGTTTCTCCATTGTCCATTAACGAGTGTGAGGGGCCACACTTGTGTTTTAAATGATATGACTCCATTCATTTGTACATCTTCAACTGACCTATCGGTGTGTTTTCTTGCTCATTTTCAACCAGACTAAATGGTAAATGGCCTGCATTTATTCAACAACTTCTAGAGTCTTACAACTCCCCAAGGTGCTTTACAACACATCAGTTATTCAGCCTTTCACACAGTGGCAGTGATGAGCTATATTGTAGCCACAGCAGCCCTGGGGTGCACTGACAGAGGCAAGGTTGCCGAACACAGGCACCACCGGTCCCTCAGGAGAGTGGTGTCTTGCCCAAGGACACAACAACGATGACAGACTGAGCGCAGATCTGCAGCCCTCCGGTTACGCGGTGAGCCCTCAACTCCTCTGCCACCGTTACCCCATAAAACTTACGGCTTTTATTTGTCGTGGCAGATCCTGAATTGCTGTGAACCAGGCACTGCTGCACCTGCAGCACTGTCGGGTTTCCTTAAGACGGTTCATTATTCATTTGATGCAAATAAAAAATATGTAGTTTTCTGCCTAAAGCCTTTTTGGGTTTAAATAATTTTTTCAATTTAATGTTACATTTAGATCTGGTATAAATGAGCAATTCCTGAGCACCATAAAGCAGCCACTTCGAATGGCATCATTGATTATTGCCATATTCTTCTTTGCCTCCGTCTGTCTTTTCTTTTTATGTTTTCTGTGATTGATCCACAGCTCCGCTGTACAATTCATCGCTGCAATGACACCATGCCACTGGAAGGCAATAAATCGCTTTTTCATTCCCCTGCATCAGTCAAAAGCACCTCGATGCCAGGCTCAATAAAATTGCAATGTCCAGACCTTTCTATTGCCATGGTTACCCATGAAACACCACCGATCAGCCGCTGAGCTCCATTAGATTTTTTTTAAGTAAGTTTTATTAATGACACTGACAGTTTCTGCTCCCACTAGTGCCTTCCTCAGTAGAAGATGATGTCGCCCTCCACTGCCCGTGCCCTCTTTGTTGATGATCTTATCCCATATGTGATCCAGTGTATACACTCCTCCATCTCTGCTCATGGTGTTGGGTTCATGCTTCCTGATCTTGATTGCTTCTTTAATCCATCATTTGAAATTGTGTTGTTCTGTTGTGATGATCCTTGTGTCTTCCCAGTCCATTAAATGTTTTTTTTTTCTGCTGATATCGTTTTTGTCTTTTGTTTGTTTCCTTTTCACATTTTTTTTTGTTCTACTTTTTTAGCTGGGTTTTATTTTTGACAAAAAATAATAATAAAATTTACATTTTACAACACAGTGTCAAACTCAGGCCCCCGGGCCAAATCTGGCCCCCAGTGTATTCTTATTTGGCCTGCAAGGCCATATATCACATGTATGCTAGAACTGGCGCATCAGCGCATATTACGCTAATGCTACAGATCCCAGAGTACTTTGCTGTGTTAGCGCTTTGTTCAAGACCGCTAATGGTGCGTTCCAGTTGTCCTAAGAACTTGTTTTTCTGAGATAAGTCAGCCGAAAATGACACAATGAACTCAGAATTCTGAACTGCGGGCTCATAGATTTCACAGTGACCCAAAGATCACAAATTTAAAGATGGCTGTGCCCAGTTCTACCAGGAAGTAGTTATTGTCTTTATTTTTCTCTCGTTTATATGTTCTGTTTTTTCTTTCTTTTTGCAATTTAACAGCACCGGTAAGTTGTTTATTGTTGTTATCAATAGTTATGTTGTTCAAAAATGTAACACTGCCGCCAAAATTGACCGGTGTTTTTGGTTTTTACTTTTCCTGCCGTTTATATTTTTTACATTTGATTTGTAGTTTTTCAGGTTGTATGTGGCAACCGTCGAATTTGGTTTAGTATTCAACAACGCTGGTGGCATCCATTTTTTCCAAGTTGGAAGCTGGAATGCAAAGCGAGCCTGTTACATCATTTCCTGCTCAGAAATTCCGAGATTCAAGAACAACTGGAACGCACAGTAATCTCCTTTACTGTTGACAGTGATTAGCATCCAAGCTACCAGTCTTGAGGAGGGTAAGCTATGGGTAAGGACCTAGAGACTGGCAATTTGCTGCCTTTGAAGCCCAGAAATCCAGATTCCAACTGCTATGTAATCCATTTGAGGTTGACTTAGAAAGCATAGCATCCAACCTCCAAACAACCTCAAGTCAAAGCATGACCCTTTGGCTGCTGCTCAGTTTCCATTACTATATCAATTACAGGCCATTTACCATTTTACATTAAATAAATCAACCTGGCATTTTTGTGATACTTCAGTGCTTTGCTGATTTTCTTCTAACCAAGCTTCAAAACTTCTCTTTGGAAGAATAACTGATGAAATTCTTGGATTTAAAAAAGTTGACCCTAATTCCCTGATTGCACCTGTGAGTGTTGCAGACTCAGACCAGGTGAAAGCTGTTCCCTTTGATTGACATGCACCTGTCAGACACAATAAAACCACCTCCAGGTGTGGTGTAAGGTATTCAGTCATCATGGCTCTGTTCTGGTCTTGTGCTCTCCTCTCCTGCCTGGTGGCTGTCAGCTTAGTTCATGCAGGTAAAGCTTGATCTGAATGTAATTATGTGTGTTGCATTGAAATGTATCATGTGGCTAATCTTTAATTCTTTTATAGAAATGAAGCTGGACTGCAGGACTGACTACATGACACTGGTTTGGACTGACCCCCGATCACAGGCAGACTTCTCGCTGTTCCGGCTTGGTAGCTGCTTCCCTACTAGCTTCACAGCACGGGAGGTGGCCTTCAATGTGGAATTTGATGACTGCAGCTTCAGGAAACTGGTAACCTGTACTTCTCATTGTGCATGATTCAAAGAATGTTTGTATGTGACTTGTCTTGTAGAAAGAGAACCATGAGTATTAATTTTGGCAGGGGCTGCTCTGTGGAGCTAGCATGTACTGAAGTTAGCATGTACTGAAGTTAAGTGTCCTCCCACATGGTAGTGTGCATGAGGGCTAAAGCTATAATGTGTTATATTTTAAAGGTTACTGGAGATGAGCTAACTTATAGCAATGATCTGATCTACACGTCTTCTCCTGACTCCAGTGTGCTCCCCTTTGCTCTTCCAGTTGTCTGCTCTTATAAGAGGTACATCTTAGTTTACATCTTAGTTTAATCTACTCTTAATGTAGTACTTGAGTACTAATAACCTTAAACCTTTCAGGCCCAAGGACTGGTACCCCATGATTTATGACCCAGTGTTTTCTACTTATGGAGTTGAAGACTTGATGTTTCATCTGGAACTAATGAATGGTGGGTGAGTGATTGTTGACTTAATGTGTGACCATAACTAAATGTATTCTCTGCACCAAAGCTGACTTCTCGGGCCCTGCTGAATCTACTGAGTTCTCCCTGGGTTCAATTATCCCCATCATGGCTAGTGTGGAGCAGGAGAACCATCAGCCCTTGCTGGTACTGCTTGAGGAGTGTGTTGCCACCACCACACCAGACCTCCTGCCAAGCGCTGAAGTGTATAAAATTATCACCAATAAGGGGTACTTGAGCTTTACTTGTGCTTGAGGTCTTCTGCTTAATGCTGTAAAGTAACTCTGGTCTGTTTGCGATGCAGATGTTTAGTGGACAGCAAAACTTCAAGATCAAGATTTGAAAGGCAGAATGTGAACGATTTGATGCTTTCCCTCCAAGCGTTTAGATTTGCTTTGGGACAGGAGGTAAGGTGATTTATTTTTTTTTTTAAACAAGACTAAAATGGTAAATAGGGTAAACTAAAATTTTTCTTTGGCTAGGTCTACATCCACTGCAGCATTATGGCTTGGGACCCCAATAGTCTTGATGAGACAAAGAAAGCCTGCCACTATGTAGCAGATCATGGGTAACTCATTTTATTAACTGAACATTGGAGGATGCCTGTAAAAGCAGTTGACCTCTACTTTTCTATTAGCTGGGAGCTGCTGGACAATCCTGTGTACAGTGGGTTGTGTGACTGCTGTGAATCTACTTGCAAGTCCAGAAAGAAGAGGAGTCTGGGATCAGGTATGAATTAAACAAATTCTGCAAATGTACTAGTTGTCTTATACTATTTTCTTCCACAGAAAAGACTGGCTTGGTTCAAAAGGCAGTCCTTGGGCCACTAACCATCACTGAATAAACTGGAGCATCTATTGGGAACGGAATGGACCGCCATCTACTGAACAAATTTAATTTCTTGTATACCTTTGTCTTGCTGATATTAAAGAGATGAAACTAAATCATGCCGTATTTCTTGCTTAGCCTTTAACACTAATGCCTATGGCTGCACAAAAAATGCCTTGCTTGCTGTAAGAACCCACATTTTTCAGAGATAACCTGAAGATTCTAAAATCTAGTACTAAAATTGATATTTGGCCTTGACGCAAATCACATTAAATGTAAAGCATAGATTTTGAAAAGTAAAACTTGCCACAGGATTAGGGTGAATCTAAGGCTGAATTACTTGTAGCTTTTATAAATAGCTAGGAAAATTTTTAAAATTAGTACTCATGTAAATACTAAAAGTTCTGCAGTGAAACTTTCCAGCTAAAACGTTGGGTTTGCAATGCAAAGGCACCTATTTGTCTCGGATGTAATTTGTACTCGAATACACGTGCTTTACATGAACCTATTGACGCCCCCCCCCCCCCTCCCCTACTGATTTTTTTTTTTTTCAAACTTTATGCTTAACTTGAAACTTACTTACTCTTCGGAATGCTCAGTAAAATGTAAATCGAGAATCCACCAATCCGTGGCGAATAAGATTGGAGAGGCGGAAGTAAAGCCGAAACGTCTCACTTGCTCAAAAAAACGGAACTGTCTTCCTACAGGTAATTGGGAAAGGAAGGGTAATCTTTTAGACGTAATCCTGGATTGGCGTCATACTTATCTGTTTGGTTTTTAGCTATACACATGTTTCATCTAGCTGTTAAGCTAGCTAGCAAAATCGTTTAGTAGCTAATTTAATGACGTTTCTCCACAAACGTCATTAAACTTGATAAAACTTGTAATTAAAACAGGATTAAACTTGTAATTAAAGTTATTTTGTACCTGTTGAACCTTGGATGGTATATTAAAACTAAAAGTCTGGACTGGTTAGCTGTAGCTAATGGACAGTGAGTGTTAGCTTTATTAACCTCCGGCTACAATAAACTTGAGTTGACTTGTCCAGTTTTTACCTAGCTAGCAAAAACTAGCATCAGACGTTTATCTGAAAGTCATACTTTCTGGAAGGTGTGTGATGTTAAATCTGGTGTAAAACTAACGCTGGATTAAAATAACATGCCAACAAACATGGTGGTGGTAGTGCGATGGTCTGGAATTGATGGAACCATGGATTCTGTGCTTGACCAGAAAACCCTGAAGGAAATCATTGACCTTTCACCTTAAAAAGGTTGTCCACGCTAGCAAACCCGCCACTGTGGCTCAATTAAAACAATTATGTAAAGACCCATCAGTGTAACGGTCACATGACCTGTTATCACAACACAGCTGTTGCTGCCAATAGTTTTACAACCAGTTCATTACTTTAGTCCAGGTTTTTTGGGGGGGAGAAATGTTCTCCTTTTCAAATATGACATAGTTTGAAAACTGAGTTGTACATTTACTCAGGTTATCTTTGTCTATTGCTGATCTGAAATATTCAAACGTGATCAAAAAAATAAATAAAAGCTATAATAGGAGAAATTGGAAAACAGTATATGCTGTTAGTACCACAGCATTTAAATCCACATTGTTCACTTCGTTTATTTTATTTGCGTGGTTTCAGGATGTGAAGCGTTCATGAAATTTCGCAAACAATACTCAACCATTTCTGTCTTGTTTACATTTGGAGAGGAAATACAGATCATTTTAACGGAAAACAAATAATGTGACTTCTTTAAAGCACTTCCTGATACTACTAGCGACGATTTATTATCAATAATGGTCTTTCTGTTACTTCCATCGTCATGTAAATCCATGTCACTTGTAGAGTGGCAGCAGTACTAAGGATTTTTGTTTATTCCACAAGCATTGCTGTTTGATTCCTAGTCACAGTTTATTTGTGTTTCTTTGCGTAAATGGGGTCAAAAGTTAAGTTTTGATCTTTCTGTACAGACGAGGAGACCGAAGGTGCTGAAGATGGACTGGTTCCACTGTAACCAGTGTTTCACAAAGAAAGGGTCAAAGTTTGCAGTGTCCACCTGTGGACACATCTGCTGTGAAGCTTGCATTAAATCGCGTGAGAGTGCGTTGTTTTCCTTTTGCAATAGAACATGGTTTTGTTTGAGTTTTTTTTAGGCCTCACATGTTTGTTTCTCTTCCTGCAGAGCAGTGCAGCGTCTGCAGAGCAAGCTGCAGTTACCTGGCCATCACCGACGAGGTTGACACTGACTTGTTTCCAGCAGATTGCTGACAGATAGTAGAGATGCAGCAATGCTTTTATATTGAAATGCTGTTTTGTTTCAGATGAAGCCACAAGAAAAAGTGTTTTTCAAGGATCCTGGCAAACTCATTCAAACAAGACTGGCAAACTTATCACAGGTCGGTCCTTTATAGTTGTAAAGACAACATTTTTTTTAATCGTCGTCGCTATTTATCAGTTTGCCGATGTTGGTTTTAGAAGCTACAATGTCTTCTTTTTCCCCCAGATTGCTCATTTCCAGCGGAAGCAGATGGAGAGAATCATTTCTCACTTCAGAACTAAGTCTTCAGAACTGGAGAGGCGTCTGAAGGAAGTCACAGAGCAGAGTTACAGGTGACTTTACTGTGTTCTTATTATGTTACAGCTGTGAATTAAACTTCCACCTGCAACCTTTTTCCATCTATCCCTCGTTAAAAGGCAGCTCTCTGAGCTGAAAAGAGAAAACGCTGAGTTGAAAAAGCAGCTGATGGAGCTGACAAGGGAAACGATGGAACTGAAAAAGCCTCTTTCTCAGAGAAAGGTAATAAGTTATCTAGAGTGAAACAGTATAGATTTTAGAGGCCGACTGATATGTTTAATTTTTTCTATATCGGCAGAAATTATTTTTAAAAGTCGATAAAAATAAAAAAATTTCAGGCGCCTTTTTCATTGTTTACACCTGAGGGAATATTCCAGCCCTCTAGGTTAGGACCTTCCTTTTACTTACATTGTTTTACGCTAAGCTAAAGCTAAACTTAGGAGAATGGCTGAGCTTGTTAGCTACAAAATCCTTTTTCTCACTTATCTAAGGGGTGGACTATCCCTCTAAGTTCGGCGTTTCTTGCTTGCACAATTTGAATGTACAATTTATATTTTATTTTTTCTACTTTACTTTGTGATTTTTTTTAATTGAAGATTCTACCTCGACCAGCCACTATTTTGCACCATTCTTCTGGGTACCGTTTGATTATCTTTATTTTAAACACTTAAAAAAAAACCTGAATCTGTTTCATTTGTTATTGTTAACTTTTCTATTGTTCTGAAACAGTTTGCACATTGTTAATGTTTTGAGTTTGTTTTATATTTGAAGTTCAATAAATATTTTGAGATTTATTAACTTATTTAATTTATATTGCACACAGTGAGTGTTCAGTTGTGTTTCACAATCAATGTGCTGCTAAAACACACACACACACACACACACACACACACACACATATATATATGTATAGGCCATCTGCAACAAAATTGTTTAAAAAATCGTCATCGCCCCTAAAACCCCAATATCGGTCGGCCTCTAACAGACTTAGTGTGAATTTTAGCAGCTAACCAATGGTTTATGCTCCACAGGTTTCTCCAGGACAATTTCAAACCCCTGGGTAACATCTTGTTTATTCATTTGATCCTAAGCAATCATGTAGTGGTCCTTAACCTGTGTAATGCGTTTGAACCTGCAGGGCAAAGAGGGTTTCACTTCCTGTGGCCATTGCTTCTCCAGGTAACCTCACAGATCCACAGAACATTTGTTTTAGGACTGATTGTTAGTTGCTTATTAAATGGTCCTCTACGTAAATGCACTTTACTTTTACCAGTTACTCCTCGTCCAAGGGCTTTGAGGTAAGCTTTATCATCCTTTTGTGGACTGTTTTGTCGATGTCATAAAACCTAATTATTTTGCACCCTAAGTCATGTGGGTTCAGCGGAGTCCCTGAGGTGGATCCAAGACAGAGGGCTTTCCCTTGCTGTAAGTCTCTGACTTCATAGATTTACAGAAACACAAAACAAAGAGCTTCACCCTGTTTTTGTCTCGTCAGACTCCTGCATCGGGTGCCTCGGTGTCCAGCCGCAGCTCTCTTCATGAATACAGTAAGTGCCGGGTTTAGTTTTTTATCCGAGAGAAATAAATTTTTATTAAACTATCTGTTCATCTCTGGTACTAAAGGAACACCATCGTCCTACAGCACTCCCACGAGGTGAGTCAAGCTTTCTTAAGTCATCCCCAACAGGTTGATTTCCCCTCAGAACTGAGTCACTTCATTTCTGTCATCCCAGAGCCCAGACTCCTGCTTTCCAGTTCCCATTTATGAATGGATTCTCAATACAGTCACCCAGACAATGATTAAACTACAACTAACTCAGGGAACGTGTTTGTTGAGTCTGTCAGTCACACACACACCTGTTCACTAGACACGTGTTATCACTTCAATCATTTTGGATTTGCTTAACAGTTATTTTACATGTTTGTGGAGTTTTTGTGACATTAAAACAAGATGTCTAAACCTTAACTGAACTTGTGTTTGTTTATCTTTCTGAAAACAAACACTTTCACAATTTCTCAGACATGTTTTTGGCTTTAAAGACAGAATCTACATAAAATAATTATCAGTTGGATTAATTAAAACACACTGGGTTAGAAATGCAAACTATTTACTCGTTTCTAGTAACATAACTGTGCTGCTAATCAGTTTTGTTTCAAACGGGAAGGAATAAAGCAAAAACACGGGCACAGGAAGACACGGACATGTTATGACTAACAGAGTGAAGAAGTGATGCTCAGTCAAGTTTCTGGGGTTTTAACATTTGCCTGGGCAAGAACTGAGCTCACTGGATCCACTTAAAGTATTTAAACTTTTGAAGTTTTACGTACACTGAGCTATACATTTCTGCTCCATCGTTCACGACGCAAGCTGAAAAACCAGAACCACAGTTTGGATTTGAACTTTTTTATTTATACAACATTTTTGCCCGCTGAGTTAATCTACATGATAAACCTTCAGGTTACACCGCCTGTCAAAAACAAAATCATAATACTTACTGGATCAGAGACTGTATAGGTCACCATCACAATGTGGTAGTGTCTGTTTAACCACTTCATTGTTGAAAATTAAACAAGCAAACTATTGAAATAAGTACAATATCACAACAGCGTGATTTAAAGGATATTAGAAAAGTTGAAATGTCTTTTTATGCAGTTTTTAAAGCATATTTGATTCCAGTGCAAGCTATCAATAATGAATTCAAACTTTGTGAAATGAATGAATTTAAATAATGTAACGGCAGCAGGCTCTGTAACCAAAGTGCAAGATGTTAACTTAAAGAGAACATGCCCAGTGTGCTTTTTCATGAGAGATCATCTGGAAAAGGAATGAATACACAAATTTACCAGTCAGTGAGTTTGTCATTTTAGACTTTTTTTCTTTTCTTTACTCCCGGAGCAGTAAATTAGCTGCTACCAACAGTACAAAGAGCTTAAATTATGCTGCTACAAATAAGATGAGAAAACGACTGTAGAGGTAACTAAAAAAATTAGTTCAAAAATATATCAAACCAGTGTACAGGTTACTGTCCCATTTACAAAAAAGATAGGCAGTACAAATATAAATCAAGTCTAATATATTAGGACAAGCAAGAAATGCAGCATCCACACACATATATAAAAATACATAAAGCTCACTTTGGGCTGTTTCAGGAAGACTGGATTTCATATACCTGCCTCAGTTAAAGCAACAAAAACCACAGAGGATGGTTAAAGCACCCCACTTTGTGTCTTTATACATGTTCTTGGTCAGGCTCTCCAACTTCCTGAGCTGCAAACCAGTCTCGGACTTGCTGGTAGCTCATTCGAGATTTCTTGCATAGTATGTCAAGATCTTTTTCATGTAGTGAGCCTGTTGTAAGGTAATACGTTACCAATGGCTGAAGATCAGGAGAATCTGTACTCGCTCTACCGGATTTTCGTTTGCGGCCACCCCCTCCACGAGGGAACGCACCATTTCCATTTGCCAAACCACTGCTACCTTGCTGAGCAGCCAGTTCTAAGAACTGATCACGCACGCCCTTAACCCAACGCAGTTGTCCATTTTTGACAGCGTACCGTGTGTCCCCAAACCACTGGATAACATCTGCTCGGGGTAAGCCTGTAAGCTTAACAAGTTCAGTGTATTCTTCACTTGTGGGCCACTGGCACCCCAAGAAGTGTTGCTTTAACACATCCAACTGCTCCTTGGTCTTCCTTGGTCGTCCTGCAGGAGTGAGGGCAGGAGATGTAGATGTTGACGCTCCTGACACACACGCGGGCGCCTGTAAGGGGCTGGTTCTGGCTGAATGTACGGACTTCCTTGATGTGTGGAATTTGGGTGAAGGTGGTTTAGTGGGTGAGGTGGCAGGTGGTGGACTGACAGAGGGCGAACGACAGGGAGACAGTTTTATTTCCACAACTTCTGGTTCATTCTTGCAGTTCTTGGTCAACTGTAAAGGTTGTTCATCATCTTGTTCCTCGTCTTTGAAAGTGTCTCCATCTCCAGAAAGCTCCTCCTTCACTTCGTGACTTTGTGTCTCATGTACCCTTTCCCCAAAAGCTTCTAGGCTGTTCGACAAAAAAGTCTGGAAAAAATGTGAATTTCTAATTCCACTGTTGCGTGTTACCTCTTGAGTTTTCACCCCATTTACCTGACGAGATTTTGGGTTAGTAAGTGAGAGAGGTTGAGGTTGCTGGTCAGGTTTACTCTCAGCAGCAGTTTTGTTAGAATAGCTCTGAGCCGCCGCCAGACTTCCTCGACCAACTCTCAACTGGTAGCGGCTGTCACTGAACCATTTACGAATGTCGTTGCGGCTCAGCCCGGTTTCGTCCTGCAGACGTCTCAGTTCCGTCTCTGCTGGCCAATTCTCTCTCAGAAAGCTTTTCCGCAGAGCTGCAAGCTGAGCTTTGGATTTTTTATAACGTCCGTGGCGATTCTGTCGTGAAGAAGACTCTGATAGGTCAAGGGAGACATCGGCTGCTGCGCTTGCTGAAGTGTCTGTTGGTGGATGGTAGAAGTATGAATCCTGTGGAGGTGGAAGAGTGGAACTGAAACAAGGGGCAGTGGATTTGTATGAATCTGGGGACTGATTCTTGGGCTTCTTTGCTTCGGGAGCAAGGATAGTGACAGCAACCACCTCTTCTTCACTATCCTTATCATCAATTACAAATTCATCTATACCTTTACTTTTACTCTTTAGTTCAGCTTCACTTATTTCTGTGGAGTCATCACAAAGTCCAGGCACTGCTAGCTTCTTTCTTGTCTCCTCAATTTCCTCAGAGGACCAGCTAATGCCATATTTAATTCTCTGCACCATAAACCACACCTTGACTTTGTCTAGCGGCAAGGAACATGCCCGGGCCAGTGCACTAACCTCCTTGGATGATGGGTATGGAAATAAGTTAAAAGCTTGGACCAGTTTTGGGATTGAATCAAGTTCTCTGGTCTGATCAGACTGTGTCCACACCAGTTTGAGTCCCTCTGAGACGAGAGGCAGGCACACGACCGAGTTGTTATTAGTGGTGAAACTAGTCACATTACTTGCATTGCTTTTGGCCAAGTTGACAGAGCGGTGCAGCTTCTTTGAAGACCGTTTCGCTTCAACCTTTTCTTCACAGTCTATCTCTGTTACTCTAATTTCAATTGGGTCATCTATGTCCATGATTAGTTCGTCACTGCCATTATACTCAATGTATGAGGCCATCTGAGCGATCAAATATGTTCCACCTCCTAGAAAGAAGACAAAAACAACGATAAAATTGTTTTGTTTTTGCTACCAAACAGTTTTTACTTCAAAGATAAGATCACTGCAGTGAGGGACGATTTGTTAAGTAGGCAATGTTTAAGAACTTTCTGTTCTTCATTCATTCTCAAGAGTCAATTATCTGACATCTGTCGCCCTTCCCTTTTCTTCTCCTTATTCCAAATTCTCAATAAAACTAGTCGTATCCTCCATCCAGACCGACTCTCCCCTCCCCCCAAAGTGTGGTGAATGACTTTTGTTTTGCATGAGTGGGGGGATTGGTTCCAAAGAGTGGGAGCACAGGGAATTAAAATCTACAAGGAATCCATCACTGTCTACTTTCTCACCCTTCCTAGTCAGGCTTTGTTCCACTTCCAAGTTCTCAGTCTTGAAAAATGAGCGTGGCCCCTTCACCAGCAATGATACAACTGCGGAAACCTGTGGAAAATAAAAAGCATCAGTCAAACCCAAATAAATGCACATGGAGGCCCATTATGCACACTATCCGTATCCAACAGTTCATATGGGGAAAAAGTTTAAGGGTTTATCTTTAAGCAACAGGTGTTAAAAACAACACTGTCACATCGAGCTTGTTCAGAGGACAACATCAAATAAACTGATGAACATAAACAGCTGAATCTGCCATTTCACATTTTTTTAAAACACTTTTCATGTGTGAAACCAAATGAAGTGTTTCGAACTTGGCGTCTCACTTCAGAGCTCTATTTAATTCCCAGGGCCGTCATTGGTAACAAAGAAAGTATTGCGTATTTAGGTGGGAGGTTACGCCATGACCGTGGCCGAACCACGTAAGTAGCTTAAATCACGACTCGAATGTTTCTGAGCAACAAACAGCCAACTAATCACGGCTAGTCACCGGTGACGCACCTAAACCCACCGGGGTGAATCCGCGGACAACCCCCTCAGACTCTCGGTGAGTTTCGGTCACTGGAGTAATAAATAAACACTTTTAGTTTAGATAAACAAAAACAGGAAAGTTGCTCCCAGTGGCAGTACAATAGCGGTCCAGCGCACCCCCCCAATGGCGTACTAACTAAAACGCTTCACTCCGTCTGCACAGGCGCACTCCGTCGTTAGACACGCTTCAGTGAAACATAAAAATAAACTTACCCAAATTGACTAAATTTCCCTTTATCTTCACTGTCCGACTGACGACACGACGACTAAAGAAACTCAGGAACGTGCTCCCCACCACCTGCCTGTTCGCGGCCGAAGTTTTAAAGAAGCACCGAGGAAACAATGCCGTCCATCTATTTGTTTGACCCTTGTCTTATTTATCAGGCACATCGACGGATTACGGTCAGGATTCAAAGGCGACCAAGTTTGTCGCCCGTTGTAGGAGTTCAATCGCCGGTTAAATCTCGTCAGAAACACAAACATCCAGTCCAGGAGATTATTGGGATGAAACCGAAGCGCCGTTGATTCCTCCCCCTTCGGTCGGTCCCGTCGCTGCTTTTGTTCTTTAAGTGAGAAGTGTTTCCCCCTGTCCGGCCAGATCGACGCGAGGCGGAGCTGAAGGACCAGGAAGCCCAGAAGGCCCACATGACTCCACTCGGTGACGGCTGGGTGGGTGTGCCAGTCTGGGTGAGGAGGCCTTGGATTGGAGGGAGGGAAAGGCCTGTAGGATAAATCCGTTACAGGACTGATGCCAACCACCCAACAGGATCCGATCTGACGGGAAGTCTACTCTTACGGACTGGTTCCCCAATTCTGGGGGTCTTGACGTGATCTCCATGAATCAAAATGAGACTGAAAAGGGTTTCCTAAAAAAGCATTTTAACTATAAATAATGTCAACAGATGCAATTAGTATATAACTAAAGTGTTTTCATAATCAATCAATCAATCAATCAATCAATCAATCAATCAATCAAGTTTATTGATAGAGCACTTTCCACAACCCTGGAAAGTGACCAAAGTGCTTAAACATAAGAATAAGGGTAAAAACCATAAAAATAAAATCAATTTAAGATCACATTAAAATATAAATACTGAAACCTTAAAATCAATAAATAAAATAAGACACAAAACTAAATGTGAGGTCCGCCATAAAAAGCCCTATTCTGCTGGAAAACATAAGTTTTGAGTTTGCGCTTAAAAGTGGCAATTCTGTAGTTGGACGCTAACATTTTGTTTGATAATTTGAAGACCCTTCTAATCGAATATAAAATGGCACAAATAATGTACCAAGCACATAATAATTTACTTTGCAGTAGTATTCAGAACCTATTTGAGGTAAGAGACAATCAGTTTGACTTAAGGGGAACTGATTATTTTAAAAAGAAAAAGATAAGGACTAATATAAAACAGATGTGTTTCTGTTAGAGGAGTTAATTTGTGGAACAGTTATGAAAATTGTTTAAAAATGTGTAGCCCACTCTATGTGTTTAAAAATATGTTGAAAACTAGATTAGTAGAAGAATATATAAAACATGAATGAAAGATACAAGATAATAGTATTGAAACTTTGGTCTTGTTATCTATATTTCTTATATATGTTATGAAATTAGCCTAATGTATATGTTTATCTAAGGTGGAAAGTTAATTTAATCTTGTTTTTCTTTTCTTTTCTTTAGATATGTCTTGTTCTTCCCATTGGCGTTAAGCCTTATGTATATGAACCATAAAGTTTTTTGCTTTCTTTAAAAGGGTTGGCATAACAAGCATGTGCTGCAGCCAATACCTTTTGATTGGCCTTTTTTGTGTGTTACTCTGTCTCCAACAGCCTTTAATTCAATGGCATTGTTTATGTTTATTCATTTAGCAGACGCTTTTATCCAAAGCGACTTACAATTTATAACCTGTAGGGCACGTTGTGATCTGTGGGGGAAACCGGAGTACCCGGAGGAAACCCACGCATGCATGGGGAGAACACGCAACTCCACGCAGAAAGGCCGCAGCTGAGTTTCGAACCTGCAACCTTCGTGCTGCGAGGCAACAGTGCTAACCACTGCTCCACCATGCAGCCCAATTGTGATATGCTAACAGCATTGTGATATGCTAATGCTAATCAATGAAAAAGAGAGAAAAAAGTAAGGTTGGTGGGGAGTTTGTTCCGGAGTCTAGGAGCTGCCACTGAAAAAGAGCGATCACCCCAGTGCTTATACCTGGACCGAGGAAGTTTATGGAAATGCTTATGCCCGTGTTAATTTAGCTTTTTTGTCATGTTTCAACCAGCCCTATAACAACTCTGCCTTTCTTATGAGTGTGTCAAAAGTAGAGGCCGACCGATATGGTTTTTTTAAGGCCGATGCCAACTTTTAAAGATTTTTGTTGCCGATGGCCGTTATTTAAAGCCGATTATTAAGGCTGATATATACATGTTTTAGCAGCAGATTGATTGTGAAAGACAACTGAACACTCACTGTGTGCAATATAAATTAAATAAGTTAATACATTTCTTAATACAGTCGGTAAAGACGGCTCTCCCTTGCCCTGCCTCCATCATGCCTCCACCTAAAAGGCTAGGTTATCCAGAGTTATCTCTGTAGTTATGCTGCTATAGGCTTAGACTGCTCGAGGACACACTGACCACTTTCCACACTCGACTACTTTCTTCTACAATTTGCTCTTTAACTGTATTATTTCCTGCTATTTCAGCTGTTTATTTTTTCTTTAAGTGTTTTTCTCCCCAGAAGAAGCTACAATGATGTTCTGCTGAGCTGTGGTGGCCTCATGGAGGGGGCCATCGTCTAGCACACTGTTGCTAACCACTTAAACATTCTCCCTCTCCTGATAACATTTTACTTTCCTTGACATTGAATGTGCTACTACTAGTTTACCCGTTTAATTATAGATTCACTAGGATAAATACAATAAAGTTTATCTCTCACCAAATAGAATATTTACTTAGAAATCACAATGTAACCATAGACACATTGCTAGGTGTGTGTGTGTGTGTGTGTGTGTGTGTGTGCGCGCACGCGCGCGCTGTCTTCTCAATCCCCAGTGAGTCGTGGCGGATGGCTGTTTATTCTGAGCCAGGATCCTCTGGAGGTTTCTTCCTGTTAAAAGGCAGTTTTCCTCTCCCCTATCGCTACATGCTTGCTTAGTAAGAGGATTGCTGTAAAGTCACTGACACTAGTCAGTGACTCGATGCATAGAGGCAAGTACGCCAGCAGCGGCACCCCCAACCCCCTGCTCTCACAGTCAGCGGCATCCTCCCTCCGCTCTGATGGCCGACTATTTGTAAAAATGCCTGGGCTGAATTTTGGCCCCAGTCCACGTATAACAAAAGTCAATAATAGTAATAAAAGTAAATAATGTTTTGCTGGGCTGGTAAATCTAATAGTCTTTTGTTACTTATGGCTTAGATATATAACATTTCAGATGAAAACCATCTCCAGTACCATAATCAGATATTTTGCCAGGCTGTTGATGCACTTCCCACTCAGTACTGTGGTTTCTTCTGGAACACATGATGACTCGCAGCAAGAAGGTCGCAGGTTTCTGGATGAGGCCAACTGAGGACCTCACATGTCATGGTGATCAGCTTTGATTTGTGATCACCAATAGAAACGATATAAACCTTCTTCAGCACGTGATCAGAAACCAAGTATGGACTGTGCATGATAGGTGATAGCCTAAGAAGAATGTTGTAGTCAACAATATCAAAAGCTGCACTGAGATCAATCATCACCAGCACAGATGTTTTGTATGAATATCATTTAATAACTGAAGTCAGTGCTGTGGCGTTGTCTAAAGCCTTGAGGCAGACCACCAGGGGGCTCCACTCACACCCAGAGACAGGATGTGATATGTGTGTGTGTGTGTGTGGGGGGGGGTGATTCATATACATTTTGTGTGTTGTAATCTCTTGTGTGGACTCACTTGGAGATAATAAAGGATGTGAGCAGGACAACCTCACGTCGCCCCTGTGTTCCTCCACAGCCTGACTAAAAAACATCCAGGTGGTTGTTTGTCTCCAAAATGTTGTACAGCTTCCTCAGGGCTACCACCTGCATGTTCTACAGCAGGTGTCCACCAACTCCAGTCCTGGAGGGCTACCATCCTACTAGTTTTCTGTGTTTCCTGCACTACCACACCTGAATGGGATCATCTAATCCTCTCCTTATCTCTGCACAGGGCTGTTAAGAAACAGCTAATATCTGCAGGATGGTACCCCTTGAGGATGGAGTTAGTGACCTCTGTTCTACATGCTCTCTATTCCAGCACACCTGAATGAAATGATTCAATCATCTCCATACTACAGTGAGTTCTGCAGAAGCCTGTTAATTACTGATTTTTAAAAATATATATGTTTAAGCAGGGAGACAGGTCAAATTTGTAGGACTGTAGCTACCAAAGAGTGGAGATGGTGATGCTTGGGTCAGATATTAGAAACATATAAAATTTGCATTAACAATGGACTTTTCTCCACTGATCTCATTTGCAGCCATAAGATATAGGAGTTACAGTTGACAGGGGCTTAACATTTAAACATGTAAAGTGTAAGAAGTAAGTGTGTAGTGTAGAGGGATGTTTGTCTTTGTAGCCTGGTTTTGTAGTCCTAACAAGCTGATACAAAAACATTTAATTCCTGCAGAAGGCAACTCTGGCTTGCTGATGTAATAATATCTCATAATTTTTCTGCACATTGGAAGAAAGTTCGGCAAAAATGTGGACCTACGTTATTATGGCATTATTTTATCTTCCTATTATTACAATCTTCCTTTCACGGTGACTAAAAGACTAGAATGTGACTGCAATAAAACTGCAATTAAATAATGACATCGTAACCTCACTCAGTGATCATTTGAAATAATCTAGACATCTTTAAAGAGTTGTTAATTATACTTGGACTAAAATCTTATTCTTCCTAATAGTGTTGATGTTACGTTCGAAGTTTGACACATTTTATTTTCAGCTGCAGGAATCAAAGGCCTACCTAACGCCAGAGAAACAACTATCATGAGATCTGACTTCATGTCTTGATTTTAAACGGAAATTACTTTTTCAAAATCAAATCTGGATGAATAAACTACTTCAAAACAAGTGAAAAATAAAAGCGCTCATTTATTCATTTACAAAACAGCACCACATGGTGGCGGTGTGGCGCTCTTTCATCACATTGGACAGGCCTGACTGACTCAATGAATGAGCTTTCATTCTAAAATATGAGCACATATGCATGTTTTATGTGCATTTAAAATACTTTTGTATACTAAACAAGTAAAGCTATTTTCATTGTTTATGATGATGTAAAAATGAGATTGCGGGTGCAAGCGGCTGAAATGAGTTTTCTCTGCAGGGTGGCTAGGTTCTCCCTTAGAGATAGGGCAAGAAGCTCTGTTATCCGGGAGGGGCTTGGAGTAGACCCGCTGCTCCTCCACATCGAGAGGTGCCAGCTGAGGTGGCTCGGGCATCTAGTTAGGGTGCCTCCTGGACGCCTCCCTGGTGAGCTTTTCCGGGTATGTCCAACTGGGGGAAGACCTAAAGGAAGACCCAGGACACGATGGAGAGACTGTCTCACGTCTGGCCAGGGAACTCAAAAGGATTCCCCGGGAGGAGCTGGCCCAAGTGCTGGAGAGAGGGAAGTCTGGGCCTCCCTGTTACTGTAGCATCATGAATGGCCTCTAATTTGAGACAAAGGTCACATTTTCCCAGCTGGGTCAAGCTGGGTCATTCTGTAACTTTGACCACAGATTCACCCGCCAGGAGCCGTGATGTCTGCTGAAACCATCTTTATCTGCTGCTGTTCCGTCCCAAGATGAAGGACACTTCAACATTTCACAATAATTTAAATAATAATTTTAATAAACTCTTGACTTTATTTCTGTTATTACAACCATCATAAATAATCTCTTGGTTCAGTATAAATGTATTTTAATTACTTAAATTACTTATCATGCTTTGGGTATAATAATTATTGTTGATAATCCTAATGTGTGTTCAGTAAACCAGAAGGTCATCTTGCATGTTAACCACCTCATGCAGAGGATATCCAGGGTAAAGAGTAAAACATCTCACGTCTTTACTTCAAGATCAAGCTTTCTGACGCTGAGAGGGCGTGTTCTGAGGGTTTTGTTAAAACCAAATCCCGCAGCTGTAAGTTCAGAACCATACCAGGAGAAGAGGGACGGCCACCCAAATCTCTACGCATTCTGTCACGCCGCTAGACTTGCTTCCAATAAACGCATCTGCAAACAGCTGACGCAAAACTCCTTCAGAGTTATTGATTTTGAGACGCAAATAGTTCCACCATTCGAGTGACCCACGGAGACATCTCAGGACCGATTTGGTCGCAGTAAGGTCCTTCTACCAGCCTCGTGCCCGGAGGACATCATCTCCACCTGACATCTCGGATCCAGAAGAGGGTCTCCTGATCTGGGTGAGGTAGACACTTTTGACAGATTGCGTCTGTATGCTGTTTTCTATAAAACTAACTCAGTTTGCTGCAAAACCAACTTTATCACCCAGAACGCGCTTCTCTCTCTGAAAGAAACCTTCTGAGATTCATTCACGCATCCAAAAACTCACATTTTCATTTTAGCTTCCATTCAGTCACAGGTTTGCCTTTAAAACAAGTTTTAATATCAAAGCTGTTAAAAATTGTCATTTCAAATTGTCATTTTTTTAAAGTGTTAGTAATAAATTCTTCACTTTCAAAACCTGACTTCTTTGAAATTAAACACAGAATGGTGTGTATTTTTGGTTATTGAAAAAGCAAAGATTCCTTTAAACTTCTGATTAAATAAACTTTTGCTATTAAATTATCTTTAAATTAAAAATTAATCTTTGGATTAAAAATAGACCAAGCTCGTTGGCATATGAACTTCTATCGAATCTATAATATCCTAGATATTTATATATGATAGAAGCTTCATTGCTAACTTGTTTGAGCTTTTCTCAGAATCTAAGCTGATAGCAAACAGCGTTGATTCTAGTATGTAGTTAACCACGCTCCACTACTGTCCCCACAACCCGACCCTGGAAAAGCGGCCATAAATGGATGGATAGATGATATTGATGGGTTAATCAAAATGCTGTTAATTGTAGAAGCAATGATGATCAAGCAACTCTAAACTATATTTTTATTTGCATTCTCCCACCAAATCTAAAAAAAACCCAACTTAACACATTTGGGGAAAAAACAGACTTTGAGTTTTTTTTTTGTATTTTCTTTACTGTTCAGAACTGAAAAATAGCTTACAATTCCCACTTTTGACATTAGCGCTCATCTAGTAAATACAAAAATACTGTTACAGAATTCTTCATGTTAATCCTTTCAATGTAAACTCAACATATTTGGTTTATATCAAACTGGTAAATAGTATATCAATGGGAAATAAAGAGTGTAAATGTGTGTTTATTCTCATTTTGATTACAAATGCTTACAAAAGTTGACTAGAACTTCTTGTTTTCTTCATCTATTGGTAAAGGTTGTTTCCTTAAAACACTGAGATTATAACTTCAGGTTATAATCTTAATTTAAATTTGAAGAGTGTCATGGGAAATCTTCAGAAACGGCTGCTTGCCAGAGAGAGCACAAAGCGAGGCAGGCGCAGGAATGACGGGACCACAGGGGAAAGCCACGACAGGTACGGTACCTGGGTCAGGAGGAACTTCAGAGAAGTATAATCAAGTACACTTCGTCCTGGAAAACAGAAGAACACCAATTTATTAGTTAGAGCTGTGAGCTAAAATGTCAAGTGTGTCCCAGGGCAGCTGTGGTTACATCATAGCTCATCCCCACCAGCAGGTGAATGTGTGGATAAATTGTGAAGCTCCTTGGGGGGGTTGTAGACTCTAAGAAGGCAATATACAAATACAGGCCATTTACCATTTAAAATCTACACTGAACAGCAATAGTGGTGATCAAACCCCCAAATGACAATTTGATGGATCTAAGTGAAATCGGTATAATATCCAGGACCAGGCAGGACTTTTTTCGGGTTAAGATTACTAGGCATGATTGTATTTTCTAATTGTACTAATGAACACAGATGTTGCTCTGGTGTAGTGATGTGTCGGTCGCGAACGAACCGGCTCTAAGAGCCGGCTCTTTGAAGTGAACGACTAGCCTGGCAAGCCAGACTAAATAAATGTATTATTTAGTCTGGCCATGCTCCATTGACGGCTCTCGGTTGTGGGGCGGGTTCTACCGTTGTCTTTCAAATGATCTCCGCATTCCACTGGACAATGAATGTGACGTACTCTTGTTTCACTCTGTTGCATCATCCCACCCACCAGGCATATAGAGTGCCCTGATTGGCCCACAAAGCGGATAAAGCTCTGTGATTTGTTCATTAAGCAGATAGAGCACTATGATTGGCCCACCATTATGGACCAATCACAGCTCTTTATGTGTTTGAAACCATCTAGAGAGCTGTGATTGGCTAGCCAGAGTCCTGGTAGGAGCTGCTGAAGTTCCAATGGAGCATGCCTAGACCATTCTTTGCAAAGCAAGAATTTGGTCTAGTTCACTAGGCTAGTGAACGACGGGAGCCGGCTCGTCATTGGGAGCCGTCCCCTCCCCTCCCCTCCCCCCCTGCCTTGGTGAAAGCTACAGGCGATTGGTCAACATGTGTAACTGCGTGTCCAGACTGTCCACACACAGAGCAGTAGGGGGGTGGAAGAGGGAGGATCAGACTCAGACACAGCACAGCACATGCGGGAGGAGGGAGACGAGAGGGAATGAGGGGGAGGAAAAAGGCGAGCGAGAGAGAGGAGAGTGCGACGAAGACGGTGAGAAAATGAGCGCCAGCAGTCGGAAAGTGGAGATTTCTGAAAGTGTTCAGTTATTAAATCCATAGAAATGATAAATATTTGATAATATAGCATTTTTTTACATTAGTAAATCATTTTACATATAGTTTTGTATTATTTTGGTTATAAATGTACTCTACGCAACAGAAAATCTGAGGAGCCACTTGGGAGCCGAAAGAGCCGGCTCTTTTTGGTGAGCTGAGCCAAAAGAACTGGCTTTCTAAAAAGAGCCGGAATTCCCATCACTGCTCTGGTGCGCCTGTTTCAGCAAGGAGAATTCAGCCAGAGGAGAAAGTAGCTTCAGCTTCAGACGGCAGGATGGAGTCTTGCTATTTGGACATCTCGCCTCTGATTGGCTAACAGGCACCATGACTCTACCACAGACTCTGTTTGCTTTGCGACATTGACGTCTCCAATCAATCTCCAAAAACTCCACAAGCCTGAAGGAGTTCTGCTGTGTTGTTGAGCTGCTAATGCTAACACTAAGCATCTACTAGTCGAGACATTCTCTGCCATTTCCTGGACGCTAAATCAACAACAGCAATCCCTGTCGTGTCCGTTTCCCCCCCTAACCTACGATGGAGGACCAAGTTCCCATTGACTCCCATGTCAAAAATGCCAACTTCACAGCAGAAATAAATATGTTTACTGACTGGTTTAAAAATATTTTAGGTTTATGACAACTCTGGGGGCGGTGAATTTATTTGTATCTGTTTTGATGTAATTAAAACTCAAAATTATGAAAAATTAGAGGTGTGTCCTTTTGATTGACAGGTAGCACATGAGCTGTTAGTGCTAGCGGCTTGCCCTGTTTGCTCCAGGGAAGGCCTCAGCCTTGGCTTCACGTTAAAGGTATTAAAGCCTAGAAGGTAGAGGGTAGCAGAGTCGCTAAACCTCAGTGTTCTGGCTAAAAGTTGTCGCCAACCTCCATTAATTTTGGTTAGCTCATAGCTACATCAGCTCAGAATTTGATGGCTGTCAATCATGTGCCCCCATCCGTGGCTCCATTTTTGAATTTTCCAAGAGTGTCGACACAAATGCAGCAGCCAAGATGGCGGTGGTGGGTACTGACCACTAGGTTTCAATTCAGCTCTTCAGAAGACTACAAGTGACAGTGCAGAGAGTCCATTAATTATTATTAGGGAGCATAAGTCACTTCCGCACCATGGGTCCCTGGAAGAACGAAAAAAATGAATGCAAGTCAACAGAGTTAAGAACGCTATTTTCTAATCCGCTTTGCCTTACTCCCTGGATCACACATATGTAATACTTCTATTTACTTCTATTTAAATTCCGGTTCCGGTTGAGTGAACGCTGGCGCGTCTCGCTGCCGCTGCTCGCTGGCAAACAAACTTTTTGTATTTTTTTTTCTTCTTTTTCACCCTGGTCACATCCCTGTGTCGGTGAAAACTCATTTTCACCTACCTGCTCAGCTTGCGTTCTGGTTGCACATCACCACCTCCCTGCTCCACTCCATAATGTGGTCCAGCAGGATTTCTGTGTGCCTCGCACTGGCCTGGATCATCCTGTCGCTCATTCTTCTGTCCGTGGATGGCCTTCTCCAGTACTCGGCGGCGGAGCTCTTCAACCTCCGCTTTCGCTACTCCGGATCTCCACCACCAGCTCTGTGCCTCTTCCCCGACATCACCTTCCAGCCTCGCCGTCGGTATATCCATCGGGGGTCCCGGCGGAACCTCCATCTCGACGGCTCCAAAGGAATACCCTCCTTCTGGTCCACGACTAGCCGGCGGCTACCCAGGAATACCTGCCGAGCTGCCGACTCCAGCGTGTTAGCCCGGCTGGCTAGTCGGACTAATGCTCCTGTCGCCAGGGACTTCCGCACTGCTAATTTTGGTCTTCTCAACATTCGCTCCCTCTCTGGTAAAGGACATCTCCTCCAAGATACCATCAGTGACCATAAGCTAGACTTTCTTTGTCTGAACGAAACATGGCAACAACCCAGCGATTTCTCACAACTCAATGACTGTACTCCTCCCGGATTTGTTTACCTCTCCAAACCCCGTGGGTCGGGCCGCGGCGGTGGTCTCGCGATACTGTATCGCGAGACTTGGAAGGTCCTTCCCGTAAACCTTCCTCCTCTCACCACTCTGGAATGCCTCGCCTGTCAACTCTCCGGCCCGACCCCCACAATAATTGTCACTGTTTATCGTCCCCCCAAGTTCAGCCCTGAGTTTTTAAATGAACTCTCTGCTCTTTTATCCCATCTGTCCGCCCTTTCCCCAAATGTAATTTTACTTGGTGATTTTAATATTCATATGGACAATATGGCCCTCCCCCTCAGCAAAGACTTCCCCTCATCTTTGGACAGCCTCAGTTTTCATCAATATGCCAATTTTCCCACTCACATTAAAGGTCACACCCTGGATTTAATCTGCTGCTCCGGCCTGACCCCCTCCAACTGTACAGCTGACCCGCTCCCTTTCACGGACCACTTCCTCATCTCCTTTTCTGTTCCCCTCCGTCTCTCCATCATCAAGTCACCACGTATCATTTCTTTTCGTAATATTAAGGACATTGATCTAGCCTCCCTGTCCTCCAGTTTTGCCACCTTGACCCCTAATTTGTCCTCTACTCCCGATGATCTTGTCATTCAGTACAATAACGGTCTGGTTTCTATCCTTAATTCATTTGCTCCCATCAAATCCCGCTCTGTATATTTTACTCGGTCTGCTCCATGGTTCACCCCTGCCCTTCGCTCCTTGAAAGCTACCAACCGGAGGCTTGAAAGACTCTACAAGAAAACCGGTCTCACCATCCATAAAGACTTATATTCTGCTCAGATTTCTCTCTACAAGGACTCCATCTCCCATGCCAAATCTCAGTATTACTCCGGTCTCATCTCGTCCAACTCCAGCAACACTAAAACATTATTTTCCATCATGAACAGCATTTTTCAGCCTCCCGACTCCTTACCCATCCATCTTTACTCTTCAGAAACCTGTAACTCTCTCCTTCAGTTTTTTAATGAGAAGGTCAATAGAATCCATCTCTCTTTACCTCATTCCTCCCCTCCCTCTCCTGATTTATTTGAACCCACCATTCCGTTCTCCTCCTTTGAACTTCCCCATCCCTCAGAAATATTAGATTACATCACCAAATCCAAACCTTCCACCTGTCAACTAGACCCTATTCCAACTGTTTTAGTTAAATCCTGCCTTTCTTCTCTGCTCCCTTTTATAACAGCCATTATTCATTCCTCACTATCCTCTGGTACGGTCCCATCCCTATTCAAATCCGCTTCAGTCAGCCCTATTCTAAAAAAACCTGGTTTAGATCCCAATGATTTCAATAACCTCCGTCCCATTTCCCATCTTCCCTTCATTTCCAAAGTCCTTGAGAAAACTGTTGCATCTCAGCTCCATTCACATCTCACCCGCAATAACCTTTATGAACAGTTTCAGTCTGGCTTCCGTCCCCACCACAGCACAGAAACAGCTCTCATCAAGATCACTAACGACCTACTCATTGCTGCTGATTCTGGTTTAATCTCTATTCTTATTCTCCTCGATCTGAGTGCGGCCTTTGACACCATTTCTCATCCCATCCTCCTTAATAGACTCTATTCCTTAGGCATCACTCACACCCCCCTCCGCTGGTTTCAATCTTACCTTACTGGCCGCACTCAGTTCATCCAGTTAAAATCCTTTACCTCAGAACCCTCCCCAGTCAAGTCAGGTGTGCCCCAGGGCTCTGTCCTGGGGCCCCTCCTCTTCATAGTATATCTCCTCCCTATCGGCAAAATCTTCCGCAAATTCAATATCCAGTTTCACTGCTTTGCAGATGACACCCAGCTCTACATTTCCAGTAAGCCCAACTCAACTCTCCCACCATCCTCCCTTACACTCTGCCTCTCTGAAATCAAATCATGGTTCACCTCTAATTTCCTCAAACTCAACGGCAATAAAACTGAACTTCTTCTAGTTGGCACTAACTCCACCCTCTCAACATCTGACAGCTTTTCTTTAACTATTGACAGTGCCACAGTCTCCCCCTCACCTCATGTCAAGAGTCTGGGTGTCATTCTCGACAGCTCCCTTTCTTTTCAGGCTCACATTAATAACTTAATTCGGTCAGCATACTTCCATCTACGTTCCATAAACCGTCTTCGTCCCTCACTGACCCCTCACACTGCCGCCATTCTCGTCCACAGCCTCGTCACCTCCCGTCTCGACTATTGCAATTCACTTCTTTATGGTCTCCCCAACAAACTCCTTCATAAACTGCAACTGGTCCAGAATTCAGCAGCCCGTATTATCACCAGAACCCCTTCCTTTCACCACATCACGCCGGTTCTCCAGCAGCTCCACTGGCTCCCAGTTAAATTCAGGCCCATCTTCAAAATTCTCCTCCATACCTTCAAAGCAATCCACAACCTCTCTCCTCCATATATCTCAGACCTTATAAGTATTCACACCCCGTCCCGTTCACTCAGATCTTCTTCTTCCATCCATCTTGCGGTTCCTTCTGCCCGTCTCGCTACCATGGGGAGCAGAGCTTTCAGCCGCTCTGCTCCTCGACTCTGGAACTCACTTCCCCCAGACATCAGGAACATCGACAGTTTTACCCTTTTCCAATCAAAACTCAAAACACATATGTTTAAATCTGCCTACAACCTCTGATTTTATTGAAATGTTTCTCTCTGTTTTTTCTTCTTTCGGTTTTATTATTGTTTTATTGTATTTTATTACGTGTTTTGTGTAAAGTGACCTTGGGTGTCCTGAAAGGCGCTTTGAAATAAAATGTATTATTATTATTATTATTATTACAGTGATCCCTCGCTACTTTGCGGTTTGTTTACCGCGGATTCACTGATTTTTTCTTTGGAGCCTTATTCAAGGGAAATTCGCCGATTCGCGGTATTTTTCACCGATTCACGGTATTCTTCTATGCGAAATATCAAGAAATTCCTGGGGTTTTTTTCCATCAATTTCATCATAAAATGCACTTTTTGTAATAAAACTATAAAAAAAACAAGTAAAAAAAATTGTTTTCTTGAGTTTTACCCACAAAAAGAGAATGTGATCATACGATAATTCATTATAGTACTGTACTGTAAATATGGTGTCCCTACTTCGCGGATTTTCACCTTTCGCGGCCAGGTCTGGAACGCATCTACCGCAATAAACGAGGGATCACTGTAAATGAAAAGTAATGATGGGTGTTTCGACGACGCCAGTCACGTACTTTGAGATTCATCTTGTAAAAGTTCGTAATTAGCATGACTACAAACTAGAAATCGGCACGTCGCATATGTGACGTCAACCACATAATCTCCTCTCCCCAAAGTAGCTGCTACTTACCACATGACCAGATTTATGATGGTTCTTTCCTCCTGTGGGAAGTTTGCTGACCTTACAGCCATTTTCCCTCAGCTTTCTCCGTGTCTGGTTCGATGACGTCACTTTCGTGAAGCCCATTTGTAGTCCTGGACTTATTTTCACACAAAACCTAAAATAGCGTTTCCTCCGTCCGAAAATAAGCACGTCCTTGGTGTCAAAATGTGTCTTTAAAATTCTCAGACATCATATGTGAAATCCATGGCACAAAACGAGCGGAATTAGAAAATAGCGTTTTTAACCCCGTTGACTTGCATTCATTTTTTTCGTTCTTCCGGGGACCCGTGATGCAGAACTGACTTAGGCTCCCTATTGTCAATGGTAGGGGTGCTAATTTGTCTGTTTAGTAAAAGCGGTCCATACAGCCGACCTTGAGCGCGCCATCATGGGCCACCTTCAGTTGTAGGTCCATGGGACAATGGAGCGGTACAGCTAGGGCGGAGCAGCTGGTGTCACACAACACAGTCCATTGATTGGGAAACAGAAAAACGACCCGTTTTGACCCAAACCATTCCACTCAATGGAACTGAAGCATTATTTTCAAGAGTATTTTTTTCTTCCTTTAAGTCAAAAACTGAGCGAGTAAAACCATTAAATATGAAGATGCAGTTGCTCCACTAAGAAGAAATCAAACAGGTGGGCATGATGTTATGGCTAATCTGTGTGTATCTGCTAAAATGTAACAAACAAATAATTCACCATCAACATCTTTAATCCCGTAGCGCCTTGCCAGGTCACACGTCATCAGCACCTTCCCAGTCAAGGACATTAGATTTCCATCTTTTCAGTAAAAAGACAAACAATAAAACAATTAGGACATTTTTTTTCTAAAATACTCATCTCTGTAAGAGTTTCTTAAGCATCTCATAACCATTTCTAACATTTTAATCTGACCTTTTGCCAGGCTGGTGATGCACTTCCCACTCAGTTCTGTGGTTTCTCCGTTGGAAAACATTTCTTTATACTGAAGAATGATTAATTCAGATGATTAGTTTACCTCTTAAACTTTTAGATAGTATTTCTGTGATAAGTTAGTCCACCTTAGAATTCTGTCCTTCTGGTGTTTCTAGCATGAAACGAGACACCAGCTCTGTTTGTACGGCTCCTGGCCACAAGCTGACAGAAGCCACTCCTCTGTTTTTCAGCTCAACGGCCATGTCAGCTGCCAGTCGGTCACACTGAAAACAAACAGACAGAATAGCTTTTTATTACGGCGTCATGGCACGATATAAGAGAACACCAAGTGTGGATTTGAGACAAATCCAATGAATAACTTACTGCAGCCTTTCCAACCCCATATGGTACATTGAACAAATACCGCAGCCCACCCATAGATGAAATGGTCACAATCAAACCATGACCTTGGGCCACCATCAGGCGAGATCCGTAGACAGAGAAAAAGTAGTGACCCCTAGCAGAAGAAAATGAAAACTCTTGTTTATCTGAGCCAGTATCTCAGCAAACCGTGACTGTTGCTGACAAGAGACAAATGTTAGGCTTAAACTGTAATCAGCCAATTTGAGACAGGTCCCTGAATGCATCACTTATCAACCAAAATAAATTCTCACGAGAACATGGACATGTTTGCATCCAATATCATACATTTCATGTTATTAATTTTACTCTGTAAATTATAGTTCTAGACAAAACTGTAATCAGCAGATCGGACCTGTGCAAGAACCGCAATTTGGATTTGACCCTGAAAATCGAATTTGTGATAAAAAAATGCACAAATATTTTTTGTAATTCCACCAAATTTTGCTTTTGACAGTTTAGCGTTTGCTGAAATTGTGAATAAATTTGTGCATGTATACATATACACATTTCTTGTTGCAATTCAGTGCTGTTTACTTTCACAGGCTGCCAATCTCTAAGCTGTCTTACATTTCTCACAACTTCTGAAAATCAGCTGGGATGAGCTACCGACATTTCAAGCATTTTGGAAACTCCCTCGAGAATACAGCTGATACTTTGTCTGTGAGGTTTGAAACATGAAATCTGAAGAAAATAAGTAGTCACATGGCACGCTGCAGGTAAGACCACAACATTAACCAAAATCATTATAAAATCAATTAGTACCGAAGACCGGTGTTGTTGATGGAATCCCAAAGAGAGGGATCCATTTCCCAGAACTTCTTCCCCATATTCTCAAAAATCTCCTGGAACAACAAAAGCTGGAGTGAATTTTTATTCATCCACGAAATGAACAAGAAGAGCTCTGTATCGCATCTATGATGAACCAAGGAGTGTCTGGTAGCAACCTGTACGCCGGCGTAGGCATTGTTGACCAATATATCAAGTCTGCCATTCTGCTCATGTTTGATCCTTTCAAATAATGCTTCTATATCTTCATCTTTTGTAGAATCACAGACCACTGGAACACACTTCCCACCTCTTTCATTCACCTGTGATGACAAAATAAAAACAAAAAAACAAATCAGTCAAGAAAAAACAATCATCTGGCTCTCTGAAACATCATCCTTCAGATACTTCACCTGCGCAGCAGCTAGTTTCAGAGTCTTCTCCTGACGCCCCGTGATGTAGACGGTCGCTCCTGCCTCAGACAGCTGCAGCGCTATTCCCCTCCCAATGCCCCTGGAGGCACCTGTAACCACACACACCCAGCCAGACAGGGACATCCTCCCTGTGGTTGGAGGCAACACCATCAGCTATAAACTCAAGTCTCTGTGGAATTCAAAGAATTGTTAAAGCACAAGTCACCCCAAATCAACATTTTTTTGCTGATAAACTAAATAAATGAGTGTCTGATTGTGCTGTAGACAAATGTGGTCAATAATTCAGCACTTTAGTGCATCTTAGGTAAAATTTAAATATTCTGCCTAGTGTTGCACCATCGTCAGGTAAAAACTCTGCACTGCATTTGAATTTAAATCTGCCATTGCTATTGACTAAGAGGTACGCTATGATGTTAGCCGGTACATTATGATGTCACAATGTCGTGAGTGTGTGTATTTGTTAGCGACTCCGCCCTCTCGTTCTGCTAGGCAACAGCCTTTGTTGCATTTTTCAAACAGGAAGTGGGAGTTGAGTAAGAATCTGGTAGGGGGTGACTTGCTCTTTAAGTGAGTTAAAGGTTAACAGAGGCCAGATTTAATTAGATGGTAACAAACAAGGTGAAACCACTGACCCCGGTGTGTTGACACAGGCTGGTCAGAGTTCACTAAGGGTGACATTTCACCTTAAAACCTACTTTAAGTCCAAGTCACTATTAGTCAGGGTGTTTTTATTATTTCATTATTTTTAGTAAGAGTTTGCCCAAATCTCATTGATTAATAATCAAGACCAGAAAAGTTTATGACTCAGCAAAATGTTTAAATAAATACATAACAGACTTAATTGTGTTGTCATAAACTTTATCATACCGTCTTTAGCTGGATTCTGGACTGCTAAGAACATTTAGGGCAGTTAATTGCCTTCATTCACATAATACAATCGTTCTATAAGTTTGAATTATGGCTAAAAGCTTGTAAAATACTACGGGGTTAAATAGCTAAAAGACTGCATGTCTTCTTAAACCAATGGAATAATGTATAAACAATCACGTGTAAGAAGTTTGTGTGTTTAAAATACTTTTTAAACGAATGTACTCCTAAGAGTAAAATACATCTGGGATTCTCGCGTACCTGCGTTCGCCTGTTGTCTAAATTAACCCGTTTTTATGTAACTCGTTTTAAAATGCATGAATCAATAGCTTACCCAACAGCAGCAGAGATCAGGCCGAGTCTTAATTTGGCCTTTCGGAGGAAAAGCTGGAAGAACCAAACGCGTTAACGCACGGCTGAGCGGACTTTACCAGCAGAGCTCATCTGGAGCTCCGCTTCACACACAAGCATCTGACTGCAGATATCAGATGACGTCTACCGGAAATGACGTAACCAGAAAAACAAGACACGGGTCATTATTAGGTAATGAAAAAAAAATGATTAGGTAATGACTCATTACCTTCGCTGGAAGTCATTACTTTGCAGGAAGTAGTTTGAATTTGACGAGAAAAACCATACCGTGTCGTTTCTCTCTTGGATATGTATGTAAACATATACATATCGAACAGAAAAACGACACGGTGGGTCACCTTAACCAGAAGTCATTACTTTAACAGGAAGTAGTTTTTTAAAACAAAACTTACCGGAAAAAGCTTTTTTTTATTTCGGATTTTTTTTTCACTTCAAATTTGGACTGGCGAACTTTTAAATGACGTCATTACCCACGTTGCATGAAAACCGAATAGTAAATCCCTTTGTCCTTCAGACAGGGAATTTTTATGACAGTAGCACATACTTACAACGATAAACGGCTGTAAAGTGAATTAAAATATATGGAAAAAATGAGAACACATTAAACTAAGACTTTTCAAGATGTGCAAACAAAATAGTACTTGCTAAATATTCAGTTTTATTCTTAAGCCCAAGATGAACTTTTGACCTACACCAGTTGCTAAAGTACAGGACTCCCAGAAGCAGTGAAAAACATTTCAGCAGCACTCCTCTCACCAGCAACTAAAATTTGTTACAAAATCTCCATAACACTGTCCTATATGTGTATCACAGCAGCTCATTACAACATAATTTAACTACTACAGCTGACAACTATTTAGCTAGTTAGTATTTCTGTATTATTTTGAGTGAAAGACAATAAAACAAAAGAAACACTTAATTTCATAACCATTTTATTTTGGGTAGAAATGAATTTGCTGAAGCATGGCTTTCTCAGCTGCATATCGATTCCCCTCCCATTTTTCCAACACTTTGTCACCTGAAAAACATGCACACAAGGATTAATTCATACTCAGTCAAATTTTTTCAAAAGCCGTACATATTCAAAAAGCCATACAAGGTTGTAATACATGTTGAGTTTCATTTCTGCTATTTCAGAATGTTTGTTCATGGACAGTTCCATTTTCTATTTATACATTTCTGAAGCAAAATCAATTCCTTTTTTAGTGTTTCTCTGTTATTACGTACTTTTTTCAATTATTTAAACACAATAACTTAAAAATATTTAGAGATATTGAAAGCTAAGCTTGTCCAGAAAAATTTTGTTTTGGGGCGCACAGGATCAGTTCCAGTGTGAACCAGATACTTAAAAAAATGCATAAATCTGTCTTTTTTGACGTTTCACAAATCAGAAAAAAGTTTACAAAATCATTCTGCTACGAGCCTAGAATAATCTAGAACAGGTTTGAAGAGTGTGTGTGTTGTAGTTTTTGAGCTAGAGAAGATTAAAAATGGTCAGAGTAGAGAAAAATTGGGCCCTTTAGCCATTTCCCGAATCGGAAGCTAACTTCAGTGTCGTATGAAAACTAGTGATTGAAACCACTTACAAATTTCTGAAAATCTAAGCTTTTTAATAAAACAAAAGGATATCAGGGACACCTCACCAGTCTGATTGGTGGAATTCAGGACAAAGACGATGAAAACACAAAGCTGAGTCGGTATCTCCGGCATTTGCGAGTCAGCTTGCAGGTCAAGGTTTTGTCTCACCTGATGTGTTTTTTCTCAGTGTTCCAGATTTTGTCTCATCAAGATGAACTCACCAGACTTAAAAAGCAAGAAAGTCAACTAGAGGCACAAGCTGACATAATTAAAGGTGAAAAGCAGCAGGATCATGGTATTGACAGTGCTGCATATTTATTAAGGAGCACAAAAAATTAATAACGTCCTTTTTGTTTTCTGAAGAAGTGGAAAATGAACTGCTCTCAATCCGAAATGAGATCCAAAGGAAAACCCAAATGTTGGACTCGAGCACCATGATAGTAGCTCATCTGTGTATGTGTTTAATCTTAAATTTGGTAATTATAAAAGATATATTTTATAGCATCAGAAAACATAACTTTGATCTGTTTTCGCTGCTCAGATTATGGAGCTTCATAAGAAAATCCAACCACTGGAGGACGAACTATCTAACCTCAAAGAGACGTATGTGGAGAACCTTGCAGGTAAATAAAAAAGCACATGGGAGTTTAATTAAATATACCATGGAAAGCATGTTTAATGTTTCCTTTTAAAGCGTTTTGCCTAAATCAACTTCAGAGCTTCCGCGGAGAATGAACATCACACAGAGTCAACTGGAGGATGTTGAACTTCAGCTCAAGAATTCAAATTCAAAGAATATTAATCTGAGTGTGAATCAGTTTCATCCCCTAGACACATTTGTTCATTCAGCAATAAATTATAAATAATCTTCCAAGTGTTGTTTGTTCTTTAGTGATGGAAGTCATTGATCTGGGGGCTAACCTGAAAAAGGCTCAGAAACAAACGTCTAAAGCTGCTGAAACACACATCAGTGGTGAGTCGGGCTGTGTGTGTGTGTGTGTGTGTGTGTGTGTGTGTGTGTGTGTGTGTTCATACATTTCCTTGGTTTTTCAGAGCTGCAACAAGTAAACACTGAAGAGTTTGAGAAAAAGAAACTTGAAAACACAAACAAAGGTAGGTGTTGACCTCTGGTGTGCATGCTTCATGTTGCTCTGCTTTCTGAGGAGTCATCAGAGTCCCGCCCGGGCTGGGAAATGAGACAGAGTTGCCATAGCGACAACACATTCCACATTTCTTCTGAGGGGGGAGTTTTCGTTGGAGCCTAGCTGGCTCAAGGGCACCAGATTCAGATTAGAAATTGTTTTGGGCCTGGACAGAGATAATTTTCTCTCTGTCTTTCAGTTCCTTGGTCCTCAACCCCTCTAAATCCCAATAATGGACATTAATCTATCCCAATCCGTGCTGATTTGTCCACTCTATCTTGATTGCATCCATCTTTTGTGCCAATGAATGAATCTCGGCCAAAGTCCCAAGCTTATGATTCATCTCGACAATTATGTGAGTCTGTGAATTCACAGCACGGTGTAATCCATCTCTGAGCCCCAGGATCAGGCCAATATTCCTCGACAGCTCGTTAATTTTCCGGTAAGCCAGGTAGCCTCTAAGGCCAATGAGCAGGAAACCTGACACCAACACCACAAATATCCACACGTCTTCAGAATCCTCCACAGACTGCTGAGATAAATTGTTGATGTTTTTTTGGTTCAAACCATCTGCCTCTGTGAGACTTAAAGCAACAGGTTGAAGAGCTGAAAATGTGCTGTGCCGCTGACGCCGGCGGTGAAGGTGAGGTCCTCAAAAGGACCCGATCATCAACAGCTGTGTCTAAGGTCCTCTGAGTCATGTACGTTTTCTATAACAGAAGTACAAAGACAGCTGCAGCAGAGCCAGGTCTACACAGATCATCTCATCAGCAGCTGCCTTGAAAGCGACGCCTTCATCAGTCAGCTGGAGAAAGACGGAAGGACAGAGACAAGCTACGGACAAAATGAAGGAATCCTTTGACAGTATGTAACTCTGCAAAGTTCTCTGACACAAGATCTGTCGTTTTATTCAACAGAAGAGAAAAATGTGATATTTTGGTTAAACCAAGTCCATCTAGAACCAGTTTCAGTTGCTCGGTCTTCTGTCTCCATAAAACAAGTGCATCTGCTGAGCTAAGATCAGAAAAACAAAATCTAAAATGTTTTATGTCTTCTATCCTTCGGCTCCGACCAAGAAACTGAAAGACATTGAACAACAGATTATTCATACCAGTGAGTGTCTCTCTCTCCCACACACACACACACACACACACACACACACACACACACACATCCATGATCTGTTGGGGAAGCAGCTTGTTTCCACCAGAGAGGAAGTGCAGGAGGTGGAGACAGAAGGACTTTAGGACGATGTTGGACTACGTCTCCCACTCCTTGCATGAAGCTGCAGAAGTGGCGAGCCCCTTCAGTAACAGACTGCTGCATCCTAAAAGGAGCGTGGCCAAAGATCCTGCCTCCCTGCAGCTGTAATGTATAACCAGCCCTTCTCCAAGCAGCCTCTGAGTGTTTGTTTATTTTCAGTTGGCATTCTTCCCCAAAAGCTGCTTACGGTTTTTGGGTAACAAAAGCAGTGAATTTACCTGAATCTGCATGTTTTTGGATTGTGGGAGTGAACCGAAGCACCCAGAGAAAACCCCTCATGCATGGGGAGAACATGCAAACGTAGGCCATGCACACACGTAGCCGGGGTTTTCAGTGAAACCGAACATCTGCCCTCGTTTTTGGTGCCGTTTATCCTAACTTTCATGCAGACGACAGGCCAAACCGTACAAAAACATCTTCGTTTTGTGGAATACCCGGATGTGTGTACAGGGTCTGATGATCCAGCAGCCCTGGGATAACTGGACAACCCACTCTCCCTCCTGAGCCACAGCCACTCACTGTGCCACTATACATTCCTGCTGTTATTTGCAGCTTTTTTCTCTTTCTTGTTAATAATCTGATGTTTTTAAAGGCACAAATCTTTATTGTAAAGTCTTTTCTACTGTTTTAGTTTTCTTTTACCTTGTGTGAAACTTGCTTCAGCCTAAACTGCCGCTAGTAAACCTGAATTTCACTACTGTGGGGCACGAATATTTCTATTCTATGCTAAAAGTCTAATTAAAATCCTAAATCTTCTATGGTGAAGCTGTAATAATTATACATTTCTCTGCTTACAGCAAACACGACCATGGACCCAGAAACTGCACACTCGAGGATTTCTTTGTCTGCAGATGGAACTGAGGAATCTACCACCGTCGGAGCAGAAGTCAAGGATCACCCCGGCAGGTTCGACGTGGTCCTCGCTGTCTTGGGTGCTACTGGTTTAGCAAGTGGCAAACATTACTGGGAGGTGCATGTTGCTGGAAAGAGTTGCTACCACATTGGGATGGCCAGTGAATCTGCTCCAAGACGGGGGTTGATATCGTTCCTACTGTTGAATGGTTTCTGGACAATCGTCCTGAAAAAACTGGGTGTCCTCAAAGCTCTGGATGTTAAACAGGCTGTCATTAAGGCCAACCCGCTGCCTCTTGCAGTGGGCATCCTCCTGGACTACAGCAAGGGACAGGTTTCTTTTTACGACACTGGCTCTAGATCTAACTTGTACTCCTTTACAGGTCAGAGCTTCAGAGACAAAATCTACCCATTCATTAATTATTGTGTAGATGTTGAAACGGCCTCTCCACTAGTTCTGGTCTCTCCCGGATCGACAAACTGGATGAAATAAAGAATATGTCAAGTGGTATTCTGTCACTTTCATCAAATACGTCTTAATCTCAGTGAATAATTGACTAATCTGCAAACTAAATCAGCCATTTCTGTGATTTCATCCATCCATCTTCTGAACCCGCTTTGTCCACGCAGGGTCGCGGGGGGGGCTGGTGCCCATCTCCAGCAGTCAACGGGCAATTTGGCGGGGTACACGCTGGACAGAGAGCCAGTCCATCGCAGGGCAACACAGACACACAGGACAAACAATCACGCACACACACACACACACACACACACACACACCTAAGGACAAGTTAGACAGACCAATCAACCTAACAGTCATGTTTTTGGACTGTGGGAGGAAGCCGGAGTACCCGGAGAGAACACGCATGCACAGGGAGAACATGCAAACTCCATGCAGAAAGATCCCAGGCCGGGAATCGAACCCAGGACCTTCTCGCTGCGAGGCAGCCCATTTCTGTGATTCCTGCTTTCAAATAATAAACAAATACAGCAATTCACTGTGTTTATTCTTTTATTTGGGTGTCTTCACCAAACACGTCTTTAAGTGTATCAAACCCAATTAGAGGAGACTCGTTACTTTCTGTTTCTTTAGTTTTATTTCAAGTGTACACCAAATACGAGCTTCAACTTCACATTTAAAAATAATAATAATGATGATTATAACAACCTTGGGAAACTTTACAAATTTCTGTAAAAATAGCTTTCACTAAGGATTATAATAGTTTACACAAACAGTTCTCTGGATATGGCACGAGCGACGCTTCAGTCCCTTCCTGCGGTTCCAGCTACACTACTGTAAAAGTGGGCCACATACTCTGGGTCCTGCTCCTCCAGCATGTGTAGAAAATGATTTCTCTCCTCTTCTCCCCAAGACTCGAACCACTGGGTCCACAGACGAAGCTGACACTCAAAGATGTTGGGAAGCTTGTCCTTCACCTGTGTTTTAAGAGACAAACAGCAGTTATGACAGGTGTGGAATTTTAATCAGAAATGCATGGACGCCGGGATAACCTGGAGAGTGCTGAGTGAGTCCAGGAGGGTGCACACTTTTCCCGGGACAGCTTTCCCCAGAAGGTCGTGCAAGAAGCACTCTCTCTGAGTGGAGGTCCAGCCCTGGAACCAGCTCAGGACGCATCGCTGCTCCTGCAGGGTCACATAGGAAATTGGGTCTGGTTCTCTGACACTTGGAGATGCACAGGACAAGTTCTCCAGACTGAGCGGGGTGGCTGAACCCTGAGGAACCGGTGGGAAGTTCAACAAGCTGAAGGGAGATAAAGCAGCTCCACCGCTGCCAGGGGTCTCTACTCCAGCTATAGGAACTGTGGGGCCGAAGGTGCTGCCCATGACGTTTGTGGCTGAAAATGTCTGACTGCCAGCGGGCTGCTGTTGGTACGGGCCTTGACCGAGCTGACTGAACCACATCTCTGCAAAGTTTCTTCAGCGCGCAACTTACAGTTTTCCTCTGCAGCCGAATGAAAATCCTCTTGTTTACATGCAAACAACCACTGAACTCTACAGGTTAAAGTTCGTTCTGCAACACTTCCTCCGAGTTCGTGTAAGAGTTTCAGATGTGGTTACAAATACTAATTAACTAATTACCGAAGCAGTGTCGTGAACTTATTTAGAGCGCAGCGACGCTTAGCTGTTGTTATGCTAGTACCGTTTACCTTCCATGCTAACCTAGCTAACAAATATATACAGGAAGTAGAGACGGAGGCTCTGTAGGAAAGTCAAACTTGCGCGATTTTTGCGCAAGTTTGCCATCGATGAAAATATTGTTGTAGTATTATATAAAACACACATCATACGAGCGGGTATTAATTTGTGCAGTGTGAATAACATAATTTGTCATTTTTGTATTTAGTATCGGAATTCGTTAACGGGGACGCTGAGAAAATGCTATGTAATCGAGGCAAGCCAATTTATCATATAATGCTAGAACACACACACACACACACACACACACACACACACACACACACACACACACACACACACACACACACACACACACAAGGAAAGTCTCCATATTTTTTTCCTAGAGGAAAAAATTATTTTTACGACAAATGTAGAAAAAAATCGCCAAAGTTAGTCACGAATTTCAGTTCTATCCTAAGACATGCACATTATTTATCGGCTGAATTGTTAAATACACGAAACGTTGATAGTTTATAAAAAAGAAAAATGCCACGCATAATGTAAATTTTCCTCTTTATTTAGAAGAATTGAATTGTGTGTAACTGAAATTCAATCTTAATAGCTGTTAAATTTTACATCTGTCTGGTCAATATTTTTAAACGTAATTTTCCTTTAGATCTTAGTGGTAGGAATTTGTGTGAATCATTAAAATTTTCCATTTCCTCTACTGACACCTAGAAAAATAAATGGGAATTTGGCTTGATTACATGCTACAACGGCCTGCCGTAAGGGTCGTAGCTCTAGTTGGGAACTGACTAGAGGAACGGAAAATGGCGGACCTCGAAGACGTTACGCTGGACGGGAGATCGCTTCAGTCCCTCCGTGTAGCGGACTTAAAAGCAGCTCTGGAGGAAAGAGGACTGTCGAAAAGTGGACAGAAGAATGCTCTCATCAAAAGACTCAAGGGGGTAGGCTTTGCAGTCAAATACAGCGCTAATGTTGGTGCGAGCTGGCGTGAGACAGGCTGATGCTCACGCCGGAGGGCCGACAACTAAATAGCGCTCCTGCCGATTGTAGTAGTACACTTATCGATGTTGACGTTCTGCTTTAAAAATAGTATTTGTTCTGTGCTGTAGCTGAGCGCAGCTTGGCTCGTCCGGAACTTTCCAAGTCACAGCAATTCACAAGTTCCGTCAACTTGTGGGCTAATCGTAAACTGTGTTGGTTTTAATGTTGTCTGGTTAGCCTGTTAGCCTCGTGCTAACGCAGTCAGAGTTGAGCAGTGGCCTCTGTCTAGGTTCCGTCTACGATATGTTGTCATTAACGCTGCAAGCACAGGAGGGGTCCAACTATCCGGGTAGGAGTGAGGTGCTCGAGTCATGTTTGAGCCTCTTTGTTTACGTTTAGACCTGTTATTCTCTGTCACATACGTGTTTTTGTTTTCCCGGTAAACACAGCCCGTCTACTACAAACGTGCCCGCCCAAATTTAGTAAATAACAAATTAAAACTCAAATGGTGATGATGTTTACATTTGTTTATTCCTGGCGACGTTTGTTCCATCGTGTCTTTGATTTGTTTCTTTTCACATTCAGATGTCAAACATTACGTTTTCCTCTTTGTAACACATCATGTCACTTGTTGCCACATATTGTAAAGTTACGATTGCGTGTTTTTATGCCCTTGATGACCTTTTTGGTTTTGACATTAGACCAGTTGTAGTAGTGTCTGCATAATACTGGTGTGTGCGGGCATTGCCCAGATTTTATTAGTGACCAGAGTAGTAGAAATACAGCAGACAGCACTGATTATCGCCTACAAATGTGCTTATTTGCTGTAGTTTACACCGAGTTAAACGTAGAGTTTTAATCACAAACCTACCCCATACTTCCACGTTATAACATAATTGCAGGATGAGAACTTTAATTGTTAGTGTTGGATTGGCTCCTGTGCCTAAAACCTGCCTTGTCTTTGTCTTTTGAGGAAATTTCGTTTCAGCGTTTTAGTTACAATTCCCATTTGAAGCTATAGTTGAGCACATCACTTAACCAGATTTGGTCTCGGTGGATGGGAGAATACCCCTTTCATGTTCATGATGCATTAATAAAGCCTCTTGTATCAATGACAGGCTCTCATGCTGGAGAATTTGCAAAGAACCTCCACTGCTAATATCGGACTGCAGCCAAACTCTCAGGTAAACATCTCAACGATGCTTTTATTTTACGTTCAAAGGCTGGACTTCTCTTTAAAAAGCAGCCTCCAAAGCATCAATAACAGCATGTGCGTGAAAGCCATTGTTCATGTATATCTACAGACTGTAATGTAAAGTTGATTTGAAGGCTTTCAATTAATTAGATTAGTAATTGTTTCTTTATATGTAGATTGGTGAGGAAATGAGCCAGAACAGTTTTATTAAGCAGTATCTGGCTAAGCAACAGGAGCTCTTGAGGCAGCGTCTTGAGAGGGAGGCTCGGGAAGCGCATGAAACGAATGGTAAGTGCTTTTAGAGGTTCTGTTGCTATTATTGAAGGTTCGGCAGTGGCACACATTAGTGGTCCATATGAATGGGCTTGTGAGTTTTCTTCTTTGTCTTTTGTTAACAGAGCAAGAGGGCCACAGAGACGTTAACAACAGCACATCTTGTCCTCCTCCTGCACAGGTTTGACAGCTCCTTTATTCTTAGCTATTATCTGCCATATTTTATAAGTCTATACCTTGAGATGTCTGGAAATATAATTGATTGTTGTCACATTTGATGGATAGCTTGTTGATTGTGCCTAAAAGCTTGAATCAAAGAAAACTGTCTAGCTGTTTTTTGTTTTGTTTTTTTTCTCATCAGGATGTAACACCATCTGTGCAGCATAAGCCACCTGGCCCTTCTGACAGGGAGATTGGTTCTGTGAATGCAGCACCGGACAACAGGAATCAGGAGGCTGATGTGTCTAGTCCTCCTGCTTCTGCCTCTGCAGCCATGCGGGTTCCTGGCGGTGAGCAGCGGTCAGAGCGAGGTTCTGCTTCCAGTGAGGTTGCAGGTGACAGTGATGATGACGACAGTGAGGGTGGTGATGATGATGACTGGGGCAACAACGCGCCAAGGAGAAACCTCAGAGAGCCTCCCAGAGTTCCCACCTTAAGGGAGAGGTCAGGTGCACCACGTCAACCCCAACAACAGCACATCCCTTCCCTTTTGTCTCCTCAGCTGCGTCAGCCTACACCTCCTCCATCTCCACCTCCAGAGTTATCATTCCCCTTACCTGACACCCCTAAGCAGAGCCCACCCAGCCCCCCTGCTGCCTCAGCCAGACACTCGCCCAGTTCGTCTAGCTCTGGTTCCTCCAGCAGCGGCAGTCGCAGTAGCAGCCCAGAACCACAGAGGAGTGGACGTGCTGAGCGCAAGCCTGGTCCACTGACTCTTCTGGCACGTAAAATGGAGTCAGAAGGAGCTTTCTCTGGAGCTGGTTGGCCTGGCGCTGATGGTGAAGTTGATAGGCAGGACAGCAGTTCACCTTCAGCAAAATTGTTTCCTGGCAGAGCACCTCCAGAGGGTCTGGTTTCCGCTATCCCACACACAGCCAACACTGTCAGCCATGTACCCTTTCCCATTATTCCCAGCACCCATCAAGGTGTCACGCTTATGGCCCATAGCCAACTACCTGTAAGTGTGCTTAAGGCCACTGCAGCAGAGGAGAGAGACAGAGAGTCCGAGATAGAAGGAGCACTTGAGCTAGAAAGGCAAGAAAATATGAGAAAACGTGAGGAAGAACGAGCGGCAAAAGAAGAGCAAGAAAGAGCCATTGCACAAGAGAAAGAGGAACGAGAGCTTGCTCTAGAGAAAGAGAGGCAGGAGAGAGAACGAGCATTGTCTAAAGAGAGAGAGGAGCATAAGAGGGCCATAGAGCTGGCGAAGGAGAAGGAACTCGAAAGACAGAGAGCCTTGGACGAGGAACGACTGCAGAGAGAAAGAGAGGAGAAAGAGAAGTGGGAAAGAGAGGAAAAAGAGAGGTTAATGGAGTTAGAAAAAGCCAAGGCTTTAGAGCAAGAGAAGGCTCTAGAATTAGAGCGGCTAGAGCGGGAGAAGGTTATAGAACAAGAGCGGATAGAGCGAGAGAAGATTCTAGAACAAGAGCGGCTAGAGCGGGAGAAGGCTCTAGAACTAGAGCGACTAGAGCGGGAGAAGGCTCTAGAACAAGAGCGGCTAGAGCGGCTAGAGCGGGAGAAGGTTCTAGAACTAGAGCGACTAGAGCGGGAGAAGGCTCTAGAACAAGAGCGGCTAGAGCGGGAGAAGGTTCTAGAACTAGAGCGGCTAGAGCGGGAGAAGGTTCTAGAACTAGAGCGGCTAGAGCGGGAGAAGGCTCTAGAACAAGAGCGGTTAGAGCGGGAGAAGGCTCTGGAACTAGAGCGGGAGAAGGCTCTAGAACTAGAGCGACTAGAGCGGGAAAAGGCTCTAGAACAAGAGCGGCTAGAGCGGAAGAAGATTCTAGAACAAGAGCGGCTAGAGCGGGAGAAGGCTCTAGAACAAGAGCGGCTAGAGCGGGAGAAGGCTCTAGAACAAGAGCGGTTAGAGCGGGAGAAGGCTCTAGAACTAGAGCGGCTAGAGCGGGAAAAGGCTCTAGAACAAGAGCGATCAGAGCGGGAGAAGGCTCTAGAACTAGAGCGGGAAAAGGCTCTAGAACAAGAGCGGTTGGAGCGGGAGAAGACTCTAGAACTAGAGCGGCTAGAGCGGGAGAAGGCTCTAGAACTAGAGCGGCTAGAGCGGGAGAAGGCTCTAGAATTAGAGCGGCTTGAGCAGGAGAAGGCTCTAGAACAAGAGCGGCTAAAGCGGGAGAAGGCTCAAGAACAAGAGCGGCTAGAGCGAGAGAAGGCTCTAGAACAAGAGCGGGAGAAGGCTCTAGAACAAGAGCGGCAAGAGCGAGAGAAGGCTCTAGAACAAGAGCGGCAAGAGCGAGAGAAGGCTCTAGAACAAGAGCGGCTAGAGCGAGAGAAGGCTCTTGAACAAGAGCGGCTAGAGCGAGAGAAGGCTCTAGAACAAGAGCGGCTAGAGCGAGAGAAGGCTCTAGAACAAGTGAAGCTAGAGCGAGAGAAGGCTCTAGAACAAGAGAGGCTGGAGAAGGAACAGGCTCTTGAGGCTGAGAGGAAGGAGAAGGAAAGGATTGAGAGAGATAAAGCTCTTGAGCTGGAGAGGTTGGAAAAGAAAAGATCTGAGAGGGAGAGAGCCTTGGAGCAGGAGAGAATGGAAAAGGAGAGAGCATTGGAGAGAGAGAGAATAGAGCGTGAGAAAGCTGCAGAGTTGGAGAGGATTGAAAGAGAAAAAGCTCTAGAGCAAGAAAGAAGAGAAAAAGAAGAGAGGGAGGAAAATGAGAGTGCAGAGAGACATACGGCAGTGGAGAAGGAGAGGGAAAAGAACGAAAGAACTGAGGAGAGGAAAGAATGGATAAAAGGGGAGAAAGCTTTAGAGCAGGAGAAAAGTGAACAAGTAAAGACTCTGGAGAAAGACAGGAAGGAGAAAGAGAGAGCTTTGGAGCAAGAAAAGGATCGAGTTCTTGAAAAGGAAATGTTAGAGAAGGAGAAAGCACAGAAAAATAAGGAGAAAAGACCAACTGATGTAGAGCTGGAGGACATCCATGCTCCAGTGTCCCAGACACCCGAGTCTGGGACAACTCCATTGTCTTTACACTCAACATTTAAAAAGTTTCGGTTTTTAAGGGACTCCCCTGTTCAGGCCAAGTCCTCATTTTCTTCTTTGGCTGTTAAGCGGCCCCATACCTTCTCTGATAGCCCCCAGCCTCAAACCTCACCTGTGTCCTCATTCACCAGCATTGGGGATGGACAGCTTGTAGGACACCAAACCTCTATTGAGCAAGAAAATCCTCACACTCCATTAAATCAGGAGGTTGGTGCGGCTTTAGGCTCCACAACAACCCAAACTGAGAAAATCTCTGATGGGAAAACTCAAGACCAGAGTCTAAAAGAAGAAGAGACAACAAACCTCGTTTTGGTTGGGAAGTCTGTCGCAGAGTCCGTCACAAGTGCAAAAGCTCTGGGCGAAAGAAGGGATGCTTCAGAACCGAGGGGAAGAAATGCAAAACAGTATGAAAAACAAGCAAGACTGAGGTCATCATTTAATGATTCTTCTTCCTCGGAATCTGATTCTGGGACAACATCATCATCTTCGCGATCATCTGGTTCATCTGCATCTTCTCAAGAGAAAACACATTCCTCCTCTAGATCCCGACAGGTAAGTTGTCAAAAATCTGTTCCTACTTTTCCCATAAATACAAAGAGTGCATTACCCTAAAGAGCAAGCGGGGTAGTTGGCAACAACAAGCTAACAACGACTTTCTAACAAACAACCGATCCATTTAAAGGAACAAACATTGATGTAGGACTGCCGCTTGTCTCCACATAGACACCAGTTTAAATGACTGCTGGCAGGAGCTGTCACGGCAAAGCACACGCTACTGACCCAGAGAAACAAAACTTTCTTGGAGTACCAAGAAATGTTCTATTTTGCAATCATTATTATTCTAATTCATTGACTTAATTACTACCATGTATTTGCAAGGTAGGAGGAGCAATGTGGTTTTCGTCCTGGCCGTGGAACACTGGACCAGCTCTATACCCTTAGGGGGCTGCTGGAGGGTGTGTGGGAATTTGCCCAACCAGTCTACATGTGTTTTGTGGATTTGGAGAAGGTGTTTGACTGCGTCCCTCGGGGGGCCCTGTGGGGGGTACCAGGCCCTCTGATATGGGCTGTTAGGTCCCTGTATGGCCGGTGTCAGAGCTTGGTTCGCATTGCCGGCAGTAAGTCGGGCTCGTTCCCAGTGAGAGTTGGACTTCGCCAAGGCTGCCCTTTGTCACCGATTCTGTTCATAACCTTTATGGACAGGATTTCTAGGCACAGCCAAGGTGTGGAGGGCATTCGTTTTGGTGGCCTGAGGATCAGGTCTCTGCTTTTTGCAGATGATGTGGTCCTGTTGGCTTTATCAGAACGTGATGTTCGGCTTTCGCTGGAGCGGTTCGCAGCCAAGTGTGAAGCAGCTGGGATGAGAATCAGCTCCTCTAAATCTGAGACCATGGTCTTGATTTAGAAAAGGGTAGAATACCTTTTCCGGGTCAGGAATGAGGTCCTGCCCCAAGTGGAGGAGTTTAAGTATCTCAGGGTCTTGTTCACGAGTGAGGGAAAACTGGAGCGTGAGATTGATAAGCGGATTGGTGGCTCGGGCGTGTGGTCAGGATGCCTCCTGGACGCCTCCCTGGTGAGGTTTTCCAGGCACGTCCAACCGGGAGGAGACCTAAAGGTAAACCCAGCACACGATGGAGGGACTATGTCTCTCACCTGGCCAGGTAACGTCTTGGTATCCCCCTGGAGGAGCTGGCCCAAGTGGCTGGGGAGAGGGAAGTCTGGGCCTCTTGCCTTAACCTACTTCCCCCGTAACCCTACTCTGGTTAAGCGGATGAAAATGGAAAATGGATGTATTTGCAACCATATTTTGAAGGGGTTATGCATTTACCTGTCCTCACGTAGAAAAACAGCATGATGTAGTCCACCTGACAGTCAAATAGGATATTTAAAGCCAATTTAGTGCATTAATTTTTAATTGGAAGATAGGTGGGTGTGGGCAAAAGTGTTCTTGTATGGGGAAAAAAATGCAGTCAAATGCCGTGAAAACACTATGATTAAAAAAAGTGATGGGGACATTTTGTCATACCCTCCAACCCTATAGGATCTCCCCCGAGTTTCAATATTTTGTTAAGCCATCTTTTGCTTTAATATTAACCTTGAGTCTGTGGGGATACTTCTCTATCAACTCTGCACAGAACAGATCTGTTCATGTTTGGTCAAATTTGAAGGTAGGTGTTGGTGAGCAGTAGCCTGGCAAGCCAGACTAAATAAATGTATTATTTAGTCTGGCCACGCTCCATTGACGGCTCTCGGTTGTGGGACGGGTTCTACCGTTGTCTTTCAAATGATCTCCGCATTCCACTGGACAATGAATGTGACATACTCTTGTTTCACTCTGTTGCATCATCCCACCCACCAGGCATATAGAGTGCCCTGATTGGCCCACAAAGCGGATAAAGCTCTGTGATTTGTTCACTAAGCAGATAGAGCACTATGATTGGCCCACCATTATGGACCAGTCACAGCTCTTTATGTGTTTGAAACCCCTCTAGAGAGTTGTGATTGGCTAGCCAGAGTCCTGGTAGGAGCTGTGGAGGTTCCAATGGAGCATGCCTAGACCAAACTTTGCAAAGCAAGAATTTGGTCTAGTTCACTAGGCTAGGTGATCAGCTGTCTTGAAGTCTCACCACAGATTTTTAATGGGATTTAGGTCTGGGCTCTCATTGGGCAACATGAGGATGTTCAGTTTTTTTGTATGGTACATTTTGGATTGGCTTTCATTTTCATGTTGAAAGATGACTCTTCTGCACATCTTCAACTTTCTGATAGAGGGTAACTATGGAACTCAAAAGTATTCAAAATGCAATAAATAAGACATTATGAAATAAATATCTACATGAAGAAATACTAGACAATCATGTAATGTCAGTTTTTATTACATAACGTCTTTTTAACAAAGACAGCTTTTATTTCGTAATAGTGTTTTTTTTTTCCCATGGCTGATTTATTTCATAATGAGACTTTACAGCAGATTGTCTCAGTCCGTCAGTCAAGCCAGTGGGTCTTATTTATTTATTGAATTTTGAATACTTTTGAGTTCCATAGATAACAGGATTTCTTCAGGACAGTATTTTGCCCCATCCATTTTTCCTTCTATCCTAACAATAGCCCTGGTCCCTGAGGTAGAGAAACACCCCCACAACAGGATGCTGCCACCTCCATGCTTTACTGTAGGTATTCTGTGTTGTGGATGGTGAGCTGCGTTGGATTTATTTCAATTTTGGTCTCATCTGACTAGAAGACTTCTTCCCATTTGGCATCCGAATCTCCAAGGTGCTTCAAAGCTCAGACGCGCTGTAATGTGGCCTTTCTGGAGAAGTGGCTTTTTCCTTGTGACCCTCCTGAACAACTCACATCTGTGTAATGCTTGTGAAATTGTTGTCACATGCACATGTAACCCCTTCAGAGTGGCAATTGACCTGCTGGTAGCTTCCCTACCAGTTTCCTCCTGTCTCTTCCATCCAGTTTGGAGGGGTGACTGGATCCGGGGGGTGTTCTAGTAGTACCAAACACCTGCCACTTCTTTATTATAGACTTAACTGTTCTCCTAAGCTAAGAAGGAAATCAGTTTCACTTTAACCATCCTTTCAACATGACTGTAACATTAGAATGTTTTGTGATTGTTTCACTGTAGAATTCTCTTATATTGCTCCTTATAAATCATTTATTTGGAAAATAGACAAATGAGCTTCTTCTGCTTCAACAATGTATGGCAGAAACCCGCAGAAACTCCTGTGCATCCTCCTACTACTACAGCAAGCCAGAAGGACAACAGACATCAATAACAACTTTACTTTCTTCTGGGTTTTTGGCTCAAAGGTCCAACGTGTTGTTTAAAAATTACTTTTCAGCATACTTTATTGTCTGACGTGCTACCACACGTACAGTGTGAGCTGTTTGTTCACATCCGAGCATTGGGTCATACAGTGTGAGAACATGACTCGTGAGCTTTGCTTTGTGAGGAAGTCCACCAGTTTGAGATGAAGCTGAATGCTACGAGTGAAAAAGTCACACACTGTACACCTGGCTTTAGGAAATGGTTGTTACTTCACCTGACTGAGTTTAAAACTTTTTTTATTCGTCTTTAAAGGTGCATTATGTAAAAATGAAGTAAAGTTGACATCTTGTGGTAAATTTTGGTTACTGCAACCACTTGAAACAACTGTGGATTACAAACAAATTTCAGTTGTCTGCGCTGCAACATTAGCTCACAGTAGACACGGAAACCCCACGCTCACTGATGGTAGGAACAGTAGTTACGTCCCTCTTTCCTTTGTTTTGAAAGAAGAAAAACTGACAATCCCCGCAGACAGCTGGATATGAAATATGTTTCAGTATAACCTTCCTTCTAAAATGACTTAAACATTAGACTCTTGGGATTTTCTCAATGTAAAATTCTCACTGTATTACATACTGCACTTGCATTGGATGAGTAAAGCTGGTAAAAGATGTTTTTTTTTTGTGTGTTTTTACTTAAGGCTGTAAAGCAAAAAGATAAAAGGTCTTCAAAGGTGGTGATTCTTTTTTATACCCGCAGTGTATTCTCTTGGTTCAATGTATGAAATGTTTCTATCTTCTGACAGGAGCAGACACGGAAACGCGATTCCTCACCACTGCACACGAAGACGACAGAGGCCAACACTAAAGTTGTAAAGCAAAGTGCTAAATCTTCCCGATGGGGCAAAGAGAGGAATAACTCTGCTGATAGAGAGGCTGACACTGTGGTGAGTTTTTATAAAGCAACATGCCTTTTTTTCTTCTATGTTATGACAGTTCTAAATAAGAGCTTGACCTATGACTCTGCTTAATAACTACATATAACTGTTTAGGGCAGGGCAATAAATTGAAAATTTATCGTTATCGGAATTTCTGACTCCTTTCGTGATAATTTTTTCTATGTCAAATAAATTTAACTATACAAAAATGAATAGATGTGTGTAGGTTGGCAACGTTCTTGTCCCTTTAAGAAGCTGTACCACCTTGGGTCACACATGACAGCCCCATCTAGTGGACAACTTTTGTTACCCGTAGTTACCGTCCATTTATCATTATCGAGGTGAAATCCTCAATATATCGTGATATTGATTTTAGGCCATATCGTCCAACCCTAACTCTGTTGATCACAAATTTTAGATTAAGAGTTCATACAAAAGCTGCAGTAACTAACAGAAACATTCAAAACATTCTTTCTTTTTGTACTCTATCCGCTCATAACGCTACAGAAGTGGGTTAAGGACATGCTAGGGGTTGATTACAAAGCATAAAGAGTAACTAAACCCCAAAATAAAATTGTTTGCGTATAAACTGTATAATTGGGTGTAATATTTGTTTCTGTGCATTTTTTTACATGTTAGTGTAAACTTGATTGTCTAAATAGGTCTTAGTGCTGCCCCCTGTGGCAGAACAGTGGCTACTGCATTTTAAACTTGTGATTGACTGGGGCTGGGACAATTTCACGTCATCGGTAGGGCTGTAGCGAAGCCTCGATGACGTAGACGGCTCGATTCTAAAAATTCGTCGACGTCAGATCCGGTAGTCGACGCACCACGCCCACTTGTTGCATCCCCAGGAGTTTGTAAATAGAGGAGGAATCTGCCTGTTTTTCCTCTAGTTCGCCCTCTTCTCCGCCTTCACTAACATTTCCACCAAATACCGAAGACCCAGAACAATGTCCGTCCGCTACTAGATTATTTTCCTGTGTTGCCCGCCTTCATCTCCCGGCAACGGACAACAACTTCCGGGTTCAGATGCGCTGCTCCGTCTCTACCGCAGATGTAGAAAATCACCGGGAGCGTTTCTCCCTTCATAAAGGAGCTTCTTTCAGACATTAGGAGAGCTGTTTTGGTGGTAGCAGTCTCTCCTCCGTGCTGGTCTGTTTGCTGCTGGGTGTTTTTGGTTTATTTAAACTTGGTAACTTGAACTTAACGTTGGTAAAGCTACTGTTAGCATCTTCGCTAACAGCTTCTTGCTGTTACATTTTGGTTTAGAGTTCATCTTTTTTGAGGTGTAGATCTCCCTTTTATTACATTTAGAGTGTTGTGGGTTTCAGTTTAGTTTAAAATATCACCTTGAGTTTGTTTTAACCGCCCAGTTTAGAGTTTGGACCTTTGGAGATTCTTATTTTGGTCCAGAACCCTGTAATCTTTGCCCAGTGGGACGTCCCTACTTATTTGTACTTTTCTTTTAATTCCCCACAGGCAGAATTAGTTTTATTATTCCCAACCTGTGGATGGAAAGATTTATGTTTTGTTGTTGTAAATAAATCTGATCATCATTTTAACTTTTAAATCCCGCGTTATTGTCCCTTCCTTTTTGCACACGAGCCAAACTCCCCAGGAAGAGTCGTAACACCACTCGCGTCACGCACATAAGTGACCAAAACAAAGCAGCATGGAGACACTCCGTCTCCAACCAACTCTCAGGCAGCAGCCTGCACTCCCAAGTTCTACATGTCACCAGAACATAACCAACTGCAACACAATAAAAGCAGTGTTATACAAAATGGAAGGCCTGTAGTGTTTATTCTCTTACAGTAACAACTTATCAATTTTTTGAGGAATTTATTAGATATTTTTTGGTTTTTATTAACTGTGCAATAGAAAAATAATCATTAGATTAATTGTCTAAATAGTCATTAGAATAGTCGACTATTCGATAAAATAATCGTCAGAATAATCGTTTTAAAAATAATCGTTAACCCCCCAGCCTTAGTCATCGGTACAGTCTCCTCCCACTCCCCCTCCCTCCCAGGATGGAAATTCCCCACACTTGGCCATGCTACTCTGTGCCTCCTGGCAACACCCACTTTCATAGCATTTTTCAAATCTTGACTGGGGTAGAGTTACATTTTCTGATGGTGTGCAGTCCCCCTTTAAAGCTGTAGTCACTTTGTTGATGGACAGAAAAGTAACCATATAATGTTAAAAGTGGCTGAAAAAGTCACCACTTGAATGTATCGCTGCACCTGCGTACAAGTTTCCTGGTGGAAAAGGTAAAAATGTTTCAGATGGCAACAAGTTAGTAAAACCCAACTGATGGAGGGAGTTTCTGTCCTAAAACATCAACAGGAGAGAATTTTCAGACATGACAGGAAAGACATGCAACTATGAGACTTATTCAGATGTATTTCATACTCTTATCATCAAATAAAGATATTTATACAAGTGGGTATTTCTGGATGGAGATCATGTGATGTTGTATCCAGGAAACTTTAGCTAAAAGTGGTTGTTAGTTATCATCCTTGTCTAGTCAATGTATGTTTTTCTTGACAAAAGTTGCTTATTATGTTTATGGATATTTTCACATTTATTTGTTTTGTTTTTACATAATTTCAAACTGGTGAGAAAATGCTTAAAATTGCATGTTAGAAATTCTTTTGGCAACTTATCAAAATTTTGTGACTTTGCTTCTTTTGATAGTTTACTTAATTCATGTAAATAAAAAACATTCTTCATAAATATTTTTAACAAAAGCACTTTCTGCTCTTTTTAATTTGACAGAAACAGGTTACCGGGACAACAACTACAGAAGACCCACCTAAGAAGAGAAAAAAGAGCGAGGAAAAAGAGGAAAAAGACAATTCACGGTTTGGATTTATGCTTTTGTTTTCGGAAAGACATCAATGTCGGTCTGAATCCCTTTTGCAGTTATTTTTTTATCAGAGCCATCCCTGTTTAGCCACCAGAGGCAGCTCGACATTGTATGCGGTTCCAAATAAAAGCCAGCATGGCAGAATAATTAAAAGCTGTGTGGTGAAAATGATGGTGGCTCAACCTGGTTCTGTTTGCCACTCACATATTTGTTATTTTCTCCACGCAGCTCCATCAGCAGCATTTTGATGTTTAAATGGCTTCTTTCATACACTGGTTCTTAAATAAGGTCATGATTCTGTCTCAGACTGGAGAACGGTGATCTCCACCCCATCTCACATACACACTCCTCAGCTGGGCTGAGGTTTTGGCTGTGTTCGAGATAAGCCAGTTCTGCGCAGTTTAGATCAGCGGTGATCGGCGAGCAGTGCATGCCGGTTAGATTTGTGTCCAACTTGACGCCAACTTGCTCTGACGTCATACATTCGTAGGCAACGATAACCTCGTGAGATCAAGGTGGCCGCAGATTTTGGAGCAAGGTGCTGCAGTTGCTCTCCACCGGCTGCAAAACCTAGAGGATGACGGGAAACGCCTGGCTCTCACCTGATCTAAGATCTGATTGGTTCATATTTTGATCCAAACATCCGGTGGTAGAACATGAAATGTTAGTTGGTCACATTTATTCTGTAAATCGTGTTACGTTGATGATGACAACTATATAGGCCAGACCTGGGCATTTTACGGCCCGCGGGCCACATCCGGCCCTTTGGTTGACTTTGACCGGCCCGCGTAAGGTTAATTGGAAATTACAAAATAAATGTATTTTCTCATTTTACCTCATGCATGGGCTAAGGCTGCATTGCTTTTATTTTGAAGTTGTTTTTTACGTGCACAATGACGCAATACGTATAGCAACAAGTGCCTGCGGTTGACATGGTGATTGTAGCCTGAGAAATGTCCGCTCATGCAAAAAAAAAAAAAAAAAAAAAAGAAGAAAGATGCCGAATGCAGGATTTTCAACAAAAATTGGACTGCTAAGTATTTTTTTTACTGAAGTCGGAGGTAAAGCCGTGTGTTTGGTTTGCGGGGAGGAGATTGCCGTGTTTAAGGACTACAATTTGAGTCGGCATTACGACAAGAAACACTCGGAAAAATACAAGAACTTGTCTGATGCTGAGAGCTGAGAGGGCACGGACATCCGAAGCTTTGCTTGCAAAGTTGCAAAAGCAGCAAGGCTGTTTTACTAAGCTTCACACATCCAGGGATGCAGCAGCCAGGACCAGCTTTGTGATATCCCACAAAATAGCTAAAAACAGCAAGCCGTTTTCGGAGGGAGAGTTTGTCAAAGAGTGCATGGTGGACTCTGCCGCACTAATATGCCCTGAAAAAAAAGGCGCATTTGAGCAAATCCCGCTGTCCAGGGGAACCGTGACCAGGAGGATCGAGGACATTGCGGGGAACCTGGAGCTTCAGCTGCAACGTGAAGTGGCAAGTTTTGACTTTTTCTCATTAGACGGGAGCTGTGATGTCCGGGACACAGCCCAGCTGCTCGTATTTGTCCGGGGATAACGGACTTCAAGCTCACAGAGGAGCGGGCAGCAATGCGGTCGATGAAAGGGACAACGACAGGGAGTGATGTTTCTACAGAGGTAAATGCGTGCACGGACACTCTGGGATTGAAATGGGAGAGACTGTCAGGTGTCACAACAGACGGTTGTCCAAATCTTAAGCCGGGCGTACACTGTGCGACTTTTTCACTTTTTTGAGCCGATTTTCCAGTCGTGCGAGAATCCACGACATCGGGGCGAGTTTTGCACCGAGCGGTCGTGTAGTGTACAGGGGGTTACGAGAGGCGATTAACACCACGTGACCAGCCGCCGATCAGCAGTCGTGAGGTCGCACTCTGGTGTGTTTAATATTTCGCTCGTCCCTCGTGAGGGTATCGCACTGTTGAAGCGGCGCTGCGAGCAGCTGCGACCCAAAAAGTATCAGAACCGCTCACGGCGCATGCGCGCGCAATCCTGCATCAACGCCGGTCGCTCGCTATTTCCCTAATAACACACGTTGTTCGTTTTTGTTTCTACACGTTTTTTTTACTCACAAAGATTGTCAAGAAAGCGTGTTTGTCGTGTTCATGTCAAATTAAACTGATCACAAAACACAGATTTACTTTCTTTATTTCGTTTTCCTCATCCAACCCCTATAAATCCCTGTGTGTCCTCCTGCAGCACTCCCGAAGGACAACAGGCAAGACAAGACAAAAAACTCTGACGTGTTGAGTAAAAACGGCTATTTTTAGCACATTTTTAGGGCCGACGTGTTGCTACCAGACGTACAGTGTGAGCAGTCAGGTCGCATCCGAGAACTGGGTCGTACAGTGTGAGCACATGACTCGTGAGATCTGCTCTGCGAGGAAGTCGTACAGTTTGAGCTGAAGCTGAGTGCTGCGAGTGAAAAAGTTGCACAGTGTACGCCCGGCTTTACATGGAAAAATGTCGGACTTTTGAAACGCATGCAAGATAAAGTGACAGAAATCGATGCAGATCAAAAATAGGTGTTTTTGCATTGAATTATACACCAACATGTGATGTGCAAGTCAGTGCTAAAAATCAACCATGTTACTGATGTTGTTACTAAAATAATAAACTTCATCAGGGCGCGGGCGATGAATCACAGACAGTTTGTGGCTCTTGTGGAGGACTCCACACAGCTGTCAGATGGCTCAGCCTGGGGAAAGTGCTGAAGAGGGTTTGGGACTCGAAAGCAGAGATTCAGGATCTCTGCTGGATTTCTACTCTTCTCTTAAGGAGGACTTTCCAAACCTGAAGAGACATGCTCAGAAGATGTTGGTTCTCTTCAGCTCTACCTACATTTGTGAACAAACATTTTCAATGATGAAGTTTACAAAATCCAGGTATAGATCCTCTCTCACTGATGATCATTTGTCAGCTGTGCTTCGCTTCTCCACCTCAGACATCCAACCTGACTTTGATGCACTCGTTAAAGCCCAGCAGAGACTAGATTTCTCTCACTGAATAAGAAAAAAATCGCTTAAAAACACAAAATAAGGTGTTTGGACCACAAATGTAGGCAACTAGCAGTGAACTGGGACACTTTTTTTAAACCTCTTTCTCAAGATCACAGTTCAGTGATTTTATTTTACAGACAATACTGTGTGTCTGTAGAATGCTAAGAACCTCTTTCCAACAATATTTGAAACTCAGAATGTGTTTTGGAGTGAATGTGACTGAAACTGTTAACTAATATAAGTCACAAATGTTTAACAAAAACCAAATGTGCACACTTTGTTGACCATTGCCTTGGGAAATTTGAATAAATCACATTTTTGTAAGACAACCTCACTTTTTCCTTTTTGCTCATTTATAACATATAGTCTACTCTTACCAGCTTGAAGAAACAATGGTATTTACTGCTTTTTATAAAGAAATACCATTAATATTATGCATAATTGACTTCAGCCTTTTGGCCTGGCCCTCCACAATATTTTCTATTTCTCATGTGGCCCCATGGAAAAAATAATTGCCCACCCCTGATATAGGCCATAAAGAGAAATGTGTTTTGTTTTCTTTTGTCACGTTTCCTATGAGCACACTAAACCTACAGCTGATAACCTTTACTTATTATTACAGTCATGTTTTCATATAGAATATATGATATCCACGAGCACGTGAGGATGTGTTTCGGTTGCTAACAGGCACCAGAATTAAAATAAATAATTAAACAAGTATGAACTCTAACCGACTCTAACGCGATATCTTCAGCCATCGTCACCCCCGAGCTACACATGTAAGGAAATCTGTCCGACTTAAACGCCGGCTTTCAGCCACTCCCCCTGCTGCTTCCGTCTGCTCTCGTCTGTTTTCTAGGCGAGGCACAGCTCAACTCGAACACGGCCACTTTCTGCCGCTGACTCAGAGATGTTAGTCTCTCTTTTCACCCTGATTATCTCTCTCAACACAAATGGACAACGACATAATCTCCGATCTAGTTTGTAGGGGGTTTGATGAGTTACTCACTTTGATACTTGAAACCTCTGCAGGTAACTTTAGCTTGTCTTTGGACGTAACAATGAATTGCTTAGTAGCACTTTTTTGTGTGCTTATCATATATATATATATATATATATATATATATATATATATATATACATACACACACCCTATGATGTAAGCTGGTACCATATGATGTCACAATATATCTATATTTACTTGAAGAGCAAGTCACCCCCTACCAGAGTTTTACTCCACTTTCACTTCCTGTTTAAGAAATTCAATTAAATTCAAAGATACTTTATTAATCCCAGAGGGAAATTAGAGTTTCAGTATACACAATTCTGAGATCAGACATACATAGACAAAGACACATGACAAGAATTGGTGACTGTGGTCATTCGCAACCTGAGTCGCGCTACCTCAATAGTAATCAGAGGGTTTATATAAGGATTGAGTCAGGTGGAGGAAAACAAAGGCACTTCAGAGTTATCCTCCACAGAGAGGGTAGCTTTGCTATGCAAAAAACACCTCAGACAGAAATGCAACAGACTTCCGACATTACACAACATAAGTGTCCTCTAGGTGGGGAAGGAGGGTTGGGGACTCTCCTCACATCAGTGCATGCAGCCGCAATGAGCAGCGCTCTTCACCTCCGTTTGGACAGGGGAGGGAGGAAATTTGGTTAGAAAGCACAGTGACTCCTGGAAACGGTTCCACGACCTTCACCGGTCTCAGTCCTGGCCAGGCTGGGATAGGGAGACAGAGTTGCCATGGCGACGGCAGCATTCCACATTTCTTCTGAGGGGGAGTAAACCTACAGCCTCACAGGCTCAAGGGCACCAGATTCAGATAAGAACTTGTTTTGGGGCCAGACAGAGATAATTTCCTCTCTGCCTTAAAGTTCTGTTGATCTCCAACCCCTCTCGATCCAATAATGGTGCAAATTAATCTATTCCCAACCGTGCTGATCCGTCAACTCTCTC